GACAGGATTCTGGGGGTGTGATTATTTGCATACACATCAAATACTGAAATATAACTAAACTGACTCTCAGTGGCTCCACAGCTGTGGCATTCCCTCTTTTCTGCAGAGGGGACAGTGAAGAATGGGCTATTGGAGAAAGACAGGTTAAAATGCAGTTTAAAAAGAGAAGGCTCCTTTTAAAGTACCACCCAAAACTCTCAGGTGTGTTAAGAAGTTGGACCTCAGGACATGAGCGCTGCACATATCTAGACAGCATGAGATAAGAAAGCAAACAAAGCAAGGATTTAAGATCTGCCCTGCCCAGGGGATTTTCCTGTTTCCTGTGTGCAAAATCATGGCCATTGCCTTCTAAAAACTGGCCATTTAGGCTGGCTTCTAGGAAATAACATGCAGCCACAGATACGGCTAGCGTCGGTGGGAGCAGCAGAACTCAGAAGCAGAATGAGGAGCAGCACTCAGAGCCCCTCCACCAGCAGTGAGCTGCTGTCGGGTCCACGCAGGGGGACAAGGTGACATTTGCTGCAGGGGCACATTCCCAGGTCACTGCAGGTGATTCCTGTTGGCAGCTATCACAGGCAGGATACTCTGACCTGCGCTTTGTTGGCTGTCGGTGAATGCTGGCAAACTGCCCCTTGTGTGCACCATGGCTGGCGCTGCACCATGGCCGTGCTGCAGCCGGGCTGGGCGTTCGGCTGCACAGCTGCCCCTTCCTGCGTCCAACACACTGCTGGTACGTGCAAATGTGATGGCTGCTGCTGCACAAGCTGCTTATGCATTCACATGGTTACAAGCGAGACCTTAACTTATCTGTGCTTCGGCTTCCCTGCGCAAAATGGGGATGATAATAACACTTGCTCATTTTGCAGAAGGGCTCTGCAGTTCAGTTCATGAATATCAAGTAGTTTGAGATCCTCTGATGGAAGGTGCTAGAGATGGACAAAGGGCCACTAATGGCACAAAGCTGACTAAGTCCCGAGCAGTAGTCGCACCCAGTGGCACTGTGTTTGCTAATCCAAGTGTGTAATCAGCGTATACAGAGGCGACATGTTGGTTCAGGCTGTGTAATACACAACTTCAAAGCACTCTCCCAACGTGAGCTCCTGCTTCCCGAGAGGGGCAGTCGTTGGCTCTGCACAGTGTCTGTGCACAGTGTCTGCAGCCACAAAGGGCTGTCAATGCGCACATGAACGTGGAGAGCTGCCTGGCAGCAAGAGCACAGGATGGGTGTTTGTCTAAATACAGACACGGTGCTGCTCCCTGGAACAGAAAACATCTACATGTCCCTCCTCCCTCCCCACCTCTGGCTGTCAGCTCTTCCAAATGAAGTCCCAGCTTTGTTTTCCTGATTTCCATTTTGTATCCTAAAATATTCACTCCAAGTTCCGCTTGACAGACATCCCTAATCTAATCTCCATGTCTGCTTTCTAATTTTCGCAGTCAGGATAAAACAAATTGGCTGGCGTTAATTGCCTGTGCAGCGGCCTGGAGCTTTGAGCCGTGATTTACGAGCTCGGAGCAGGCGCTCTGCAACACATTTTTCTTAATTTATTTTTAATGAGTCTCTCAATTAATTTTCTTGGAAACATCTTAATGATGTTAGAGGCGGGTGTTAATGAGGTTTGTACCAGTGCTTCATTTTGCATATTTTCAAGTACTGAATGGCATCCCAAACCAGCACCTAGTCCTAAACCAGAGAAAAGGCTGGAGAAAGGTCTCCTGCTCAGCTAACACTGCTCTCTCGGGCTAGGCTTTCAGGCTGCATTGGGTGGTGGGTGATTTAGAACATTGAGATGAAGCCGGCCGAGCTCACAGGGACAGGGTGACCTCAGGAGGCGCAAGGGGTTGCGCTGGGGCACGGCTCGTGGCCGGATGCTTCCTAACAGATGGGATCAGGGCCTGGGTTCTGTGCCTGTCCTCAGCTCCTGGGCTTGGCTCCGTCCCGCCATGCCCCATAACTGGGCACCCCGTTGTGTCTCCCCAGCCAGATACGGTGGGAGGCAGCACCCTGGGTCATGGGGCCTGCTGGGGCATGGGGCCAGGCCACCTGGGGCTGTGGGTGCTCGGGGTGTCTCTGCGGCTTGCAGGGTCCCCAGTCATTGCTAGTGCATGTGCGGGTGAGAGGTAGCAGCTGATTGCCTTTGTTTTCTCTCAGCATGTCAGTCTTCATTAAACCAGAGGGGAATGAAAAAGGATTCACTTTTGTCCCAGCCAGAATGTGGCAGCTGTTTAATTTCAATTAACGTGGTACTGAAAAGAATAACATTACTGCAGTAATTAAAGTGAGACAGCTCCCACCCCAGCCCTGTGCAGTGCTGCTCAGCAGAGTCCGGTTTGACTTCCCATCCTCCCAGCACTAGGCGAGCACCAGCAGGCAGCTGTGGGTCCGGGCCGTGGGGCTGCCCCACAGGCTCACAAGGAGCTGGAGTAGGGCTGAGCACTCCCCACCAGCCCCAGGGCAGCAGGATCAGCAGCACATCAGCTGCAGCAAGTGAGAAAGCCACATAAGCAGTGGCTGCAAGTGGATCAAGGTGCTGCTGGCTGCATGTGGGTGCGCTCTGCTGCAGGACGACAGCGCAATGCCAAGCTGTGCTGAGCTGTGCTGAGCTGTGAGCCATGTGCCGGGCAGAACTGTGCCAGGTGAGCGGTTGGAGCTGCTCAGAGCTCAGTCCCAGCATGGGTGTGACATGTGGGGTGCTGCCAGGGGAGGGCAACCAGCTTTAACTAAAGCAGCAATGGCGCTGTGACCAAGGCAGAGGGTGGCACCATGGGGGTTCCGTGTCCTGGCTGCCCCTGCCTGAAGAGCACTGAAACCCACAGAGAACACCCCAGTTCCCCTGCACTGGCAGAAGTTGGGACTAAACTCAGTAGCATTGCGCACGGCGCGGTTTAGGTGGCTCTGCTTGCGGGACTGTTGGTGCTGCATCTGTCCCACTGCCTGTGGCTGCAACCCGCCGGTGCAGCGGATTGTCATGGCAACTGATGGTTCCTGAGACTGTACATCTGTGTTCACCTCCTGGGCCCAGGCTGGCCTTGGAGATTCCCGTTAGAAAGCTTACCTGTGAAACTGCACGAGCACCAGGGAGCGGCAACGGCACCGGGAGCTCCAGGGTGCAGGCAGAGCCAGCGGCTGGTGTGTGCCCCAGGCACCCCTGTGCAGCCACACTCAAGGTGGTGCTGGCAGCCAGTGGCACCAGCGCTGCCACCCGCGTGTCGTGTGGCCCTCACAGTGCAGGCAGAGCAGCCACCCTGTGCCCGGAGCAGATGAGCCATGAGGGCGCTGACCGGGGTGCAAGGCTCCCCCAAACTCAGCACCGCATACCCCATTGCACCAGCCAGCAAAACCATCCATTGTGCCTCTACGGACTGGACTTCACACACCTGCACTGCTGCACCCATCTACACTGAGCTAGCACTGCCTTTCCCTGTCTGGCCACCATCGCACATGGTCCTTTGGCAGGTCAGTGAATTGCTCCCCAGCTCCCACTTGCTACAGGGTGCCCCTCAGATAGAGCAGGTCTCCTGTGCCCCGGGAACTGGCTGGAAGTTACTGCCTGCCAAGACAGGCACACATACCTCCTGCCAGGATCTGTGCACCATTCTCCTAGAAGCCCTGGGTGCAGTATCCTTGGCAGGATTTCCCTTTGCAAAAGCACTCGCCCTCTCCCCAGCAGGTCAGTGTCACACGTGTACCTGCAGGTTTGGGTTTCTGTGGACACCCCAGCCGGGCTGGCAGCCAGGCTCACCCCCATCCTCAGAGCTCCTCCTCACCCATGGGTGCTGTGCTTGCTCCAGGAAGCTTCTGGGGCACGCTCAGCCTCCACACAGAGACTGAGAGCAGAGAGGCTGCCCCGTGCAGCAGCAGCACACAGGCTACTGCCATCACTGAGCCAAATTCATTCGTGTTTACCATAACACACACAGGCAGAGAGTTTGTTTTGGGTTTGTTTTTTTTCTGGTGCTTTAAGAGGGGAAAAAACATTTCTCCCTCTCTGTCTAAACACTATTGATCTATGCCGGGAAGCCGCATGGAGAGGGAAGGGCGTGGAGAAACTGAAATTTCATTTCTGACAACTTGTTTCTGTTGTTTTTACTTTTTTTGGACAGCGAGAAGCGGGGCGCAGCGGCCTGGGGCGATGCGGTCAATAGCTCCCCACCCAGCCGTGGCCGAGGGCGCTCACCGCGCGCACCAGCGCGGCACCGGAGACACCTCACCGGGAGGGCTCCCCGCTACGTGAGGTCACCAGGTTCCGGTTCTGGGCGGTGTCCCCGGGCCGCGGCCGGGCTCGGGCTGCAGGCAGGGAGGTGCCGGGCCGGGGGGGGCCGGAGCGCGGCAGCGATGGCGCGGGAGGGCTGCGGTGAGGACACGGGCAGCGCTGGGGCCGTGCTGCCATGGAGGGGGCGCTGGGCCGCTGCGCAGCGCTGCTCTGCCGCTGCAGGAGCCCCAGGCCCGGCGGTTGAAGAGCCAGTGCCACAGGGCGGTGGGGCTGCCCCAGGCCAGGCCGGGCAACGCATCGAAGAACCCCGCTGGGACCGAGGGTCGTCGGGGCAGCAGGCAGGGCCTGAACCGTGCTGTGTCCTTCCCGCAGCGAGAGAGTGGCCAAAGTGTGGCACATCCAAGGAGGCTCCTGCACCTCCGGGCCAGCCCGAGAGTCCCAGCGAAAGGCTGCCGACACCGGAGGGGGCAACGTCAGAGCTGAGCAGCTCCATCCGCCAGCTTCACCAGGAGACAGAGACCCAGGTGAGCGGTGCCAACCCCACTCCCACTCCAGGTGCTGGTTGTGGGTCCCCGGGCTGCTGGCTGGTGGTGCAGGAGGCCCTGGCCAGCGCTCACGCCTGCCAGCAGACGGCTCCTCCCCAGGGCTCGGGGATGTCCGCTCCTGCTGCAGCTGCACTGGTCCCACTGCCGCGATTTCCCACAGCAGCCACAGCTCCTGCTGGCATCACTGCAGTGCCAGCAGGGTCAGGGGTTGGCTTCGTGAGCCCAAGAGGACTTTAGAGCACACACAGGGTGGTACTGCCTGGGGTGGGGGGGGGTCTGCACCCACTAGTTACCAACATACCCCAGTGCTGCTCTCTGGGCTGCCAGCAGCCTCATCCAGCCCTGGTGCGTGCCAGGAGCTGGAGGAGGGTCTGGCTGGAGCAGTGAGCAAGAGCAGTGCTGCTCATGCTGTGTCCTAGGGCCAAAGGCAAGCGTTGGTGCCAGAGCCATGGCAAGGACAGCCCCAGGCATGCCAGGACACACCGGAGCTGGAGCCAGCCTCCATACGGGCACTGCAGCTGTACGTGGACTTCTGCAGGGGCATGAATCACGAGCTGCTGGTGCAGCTGCAGCACCAGGAGAGCACAGCAGAGCAGCAGCAGCAGCAGTTTGCCTTTCTGAGGCAGCAGTGCCAGGCGGTGATGGGCAAGGTACTGCTGGAGGGTGCCACAGGCCAGGCTGCAGGAGTCCCCCACCCTTGGCCATGTTCTTACATCTTGGGCAAGGCACCATGCCTGCCCAGCAGCCTGCCTGTGGGAACTGCTGGTGATCAGTGCTCAGGGACGGGCAGGATATATCCTGCCAGCCACATGTGGGACAAGGAGTTAGCACCTCACCCTGTATGGAGCACCCTAGACATGGGGCAGGCATGGCTGGCATGGCCCAGTAAACCCAGCTGAGCACAGCTGGAAGACTGCAGCTCCTAAGGGCCCCACTGACACTCTGGGCACCATCCAAGGGCTGGGCACCCACAGGTCAGTGATGCACCTCTCCCCAGGAACAGAAGGATGAGGCAGTGCAGACAGAGGTCACCTTTGATGTGGCTGCCCATGGCCATGCGGACGGCAGCTACAACATCCTGGAGAAGCACACACTGCTTCTCGAGCAGGTCAGTTCTGGCACACTGGACCAGACAGGGGCCAGCACACAGCATACAGCAGTGCTGCTCACATAGGCAATGGTAGATGCAGAAATGAGGCACTGCAGGCAGAAGAGAGCAGCTAAGAAGTGCTGGTACTGACACAGAACACAGCTGGGGTGTGCGGCTGAGCCAGGCAGTGCTGAGGAAGGTGGGTGGGTGAGGATGGGGCATCCAAGGCCTCTGGGCTGGAACATGTGAAGGCTGCAGCAGTCTTGGGCTGCCACAGTCTTGGTGGCTCCAGCCAGAGCTGCAGCCCAGTGCATGCCCCAGTGGCAGAGAGCAGCAGCAAGGAGACATTTGGCACCCATAAAGGCCAGCATACATGTGGCTGGAGGATGAGGCACAAAAGGACCCCAGGAGGCAGCAGGCATCAGTTACTGCATGTTCACACACTGCAACACTCTGTCCATCCTGGTGTTAACAATGGGGAATGGCAAGACCCTGTGGTCACCAGAGGCTCCCTGTGCTTTTGGGTCATCACCAGTTGCAGAGTTAAGGGGCAGACAGGGTTTGCCTCTGCAGTCCTGGGAGGGAGGATGGGCAGCCCCTGAGCCTGGGGGGAAGCAGCCAGGGGGGCACAGGAGCCACGAGTGCCCCAGAACCACAGCGGCGGCTCCTCCCTGGGACAGGGGGAGGCAGTGCCAGCCGCGCTGTCTCAAGCAGCCGAATTAGGCACTGCCAGCCTGGACTCCCCGCAGCGCACAGGGGAGCAGCCGTGCCGGTGCCTGGGGGAGGACCCACAGCAAGATGAGGGCTGCGAGGTGGCAGCCGTGCTGCAGGAGAAAGCGGCCAGCAGCAGAGCAGAGCCGGCTCAGAGCAGGTGAGCCCCACACAGCCGGAGCACAGCAGGGCTCTCCCTGTGACTGCTCCATCAGAGGCGGGCAGCCGGGCGCTGCAGCAGCTCAGGCTGTGCCTGTGCCCACAGGGAGCTGGCAGAGCAGCTCAAGGCAGAGCTGAGCCAGTGGCAGTGGAAGCATCAGGTGACCCTCGAGCAGGCACTGCAACACATGCATGCTGCGGCCCATGCTGCAGAGGAGCTGCAGAGGAACCAGAAACAGCTCCAAACCCTGAGGGAGCAGGTAGGGAGCAGGCAGGACCTGCTGTGGGGTCCCTCCGTCAGCCTGGGCCTGGTCTCTTCTGCCCCTGTGGGTAACCTAGGGCCCACCCAGTGCCAGCAGCAGGCTGCCACACCATGAGAGCTGCAAGGGGAGCTGCGCTGTCAGTAGGATGGGAAAGAACAGCTCTAGCAAGAGCTGCTGCAGGCAAAGGAGTGGAAGAGCACTCTCGAGAGTTAATAAAGCCCTGTACCAAAGCCTATGCTGCAGGAGTGCACAGTGAGCTGGGATCAGCAGCAGGAGAGAGGGCACAGACCTCACTCGAGCACAGCAATGCTGCATTCCCTGATGCATTGCCTTCTCTCAGCTGAGGACACAGGAGGAGCAGAGCCAGGGCCTGCAGCATCACCTGGCTCGGCTGCAGGAAGAGCTGGGAGCCACCCACGCCCGGGAGCAGCAAAACCTGCAGCAGCTGAGTGAAGCCAAGGAGACCATCCAAGTCCTGCACCAAGAAGTGGCCTCCAACAGAAAGCACATGGCAGAGCTGCTGCAGCAGGTGAGGGCAGGGACAGGGCAGCCCTTGGTGCAGAGCTCACTCTGCCCCCCGGCAGCACTGCCCCTGGGTAGCCCAGCCTGCCATGGCCTGGCCAGCACCCTCTGCCCCGTGATTCTGCACACAGGTGAGGGACATGACCACCCTGCAGGCAGAGCTGGCCCAGGCCCAGCAAGAGAAAGCCAAGCAGGAGGAGAACATTGCAGCCTATGTGACACAGAAGCAGCAGCTCCACTGGGAGCTGAGGAAGCTGCAGGGGTCCCAGGAGCAGTGTAAGCAAGAGGTAAACATGTCCTGGGCCTTCCCACAGGGCACCAGGAGTCTGTGCTCAGCCTGTGTCCCTCTCACTGCTTCTCTGTGCCACCAACAGGCCCATTCCCTCCAGGAGACGCTATGTGAGCTGAGGAGCCGAGCCCAATACTGGCAAGAGCTATATAAGGACAGCGCCCAAACTCTGGCTATGCGAGAAGAGGAACTAGTTGTTTGCAAGGTGGAGCTGGCTTTCCTCAAGGAAGAGCTCAGCAAGGCCATGGAGCAGATGCAGGTTAGAAAGAGGCAGCACCACAGCCCAAGACAGGAGCACAGGATGGGCCCCCTAGTACCAGGGAATGACAAACATCCTGGTCCACAGGCAGGGGAGGGGTGGAAAGGAAAGGACAGGGGACAGCATTCTGCTGCTCCCAGCTGCCAAGGGAGGAAGCTGAGGGTCTGACAGCAGCAAAGCACACCACCTTCTCCTTAAAGTACCCCTCCTCACTCAGCTGCGAGAAGGAAGCACCTCTGCATTAAGCTACCATGTTAGAACAACAGTTCAGGGCAGTAGTGCTGAGGTTAACAGTGGTGCTCCAGAGCAGGTCTCCTGAGGCACCACCCTCTCCTCAGCCCAGCTCGCTGGTCCAGCACAGCCTGGGTTCTCCAACTGCCTTCAGCCCTTAGCTCATGGAGGCTGGGAAGAGCAGTCACAGGCACTGCAAGCACACATGGCACTGTGGTCACTCTTTCCAGGTGAAACCCCTGCCCTCTGCCCAAGCTCTGCCATGCTCCAACAGTGGCAGACTGCAAAAGGAAACAGAGCTGCTGCTGGTCAACATCAGCCAGTGTGTGAAGGAGCCAACGTGAGTGAGAAGCCTTACTAGAACACAGGGGCAGGTGACTGCCGCCTTCTCACACCGAGTCGCTCAGCTCATACCTTGTTTTCAGGCATTCAAATAAGAAACTAAGGCACAAGATCCAGTGGGAAATCAAGCAGACTGCAGAGCTGCTAGGTGAAAAGGAGGAGTAAGTTTTGAACACAGGAGTGGAGCTGAGCTATCCCAAACAGCAGTTACTGCTGCTGGCAGGAATGTATGGGACACATGGACAACTGCTGGACTAGTCAAGCTCCTGAAACACCAGCAGATCAGGGTTGTCTTTGCATCATTGCATCCCCTCATTTCCTCTCCCTTTCCTCCAGGCATGTTCAAGACACACTGCGGAAAGAAGACACGTACCTCATGGTTGGAACAGATGAGCAGCAGCACAAGTGTGAGCAGCTGAAGGTGAGAATTCCTGGCACAGCCTGGCTTGAAACAGGGTTGGCCCTGTGGGCTTTTGTGGGCAAGGGCAGCTGAGCACAGGCTGTGGCAGAACTGCCTTTGCAGTAGTATGGGCCAGGGCGCCTTTGCCCTCTAGGTCAGTGTAACACTGTGCCTTGTGTCCTATAGGGCAACAACTTCACATTACCAGCCCCCCACAATTCTGCAGGGCTGTTTCCACCCCCCTCTTGCCCACAGGACAGGAAACAGTGCAAAACAAAGCAAGGACTAGACAACTTTTAAACAAATAAAAGTCTTTTCTCTTCTGTAGCAAAATCAGTGCCAAGCACTACATCCTTTCTGGGCCACAAGCTGTAGAGTGCCTCAGAGAGTACAGTGATCAGAGGAGGGGCTGGGCACACATCTAAGACTCAGCTTCTCCTGAAAGTCTTTAAGCTTCAAAACAATGGGCACTGCTGCCTTAGAGGCCAAAGCGTGCTGGGGTGCGTCGTGGTGTCAGGGGCTCGCCCTGCTCCTTCCGCCCAGGGGTGTAGATTTTAGTAGATCTGCCAGGAGAGAACAAGGGTGATTAGCGGAATACGTAACTTTTCCCTGCACCACAGCACCCATGAGAAAGTTGGCGTGCTCCATGCAGCTCACTACTCCTGCTCCTCAGCAGGCATCCCACGGCCAGGCAGAGCCAGCACCTACCTGGCACTGCCCAGAGGGTTGCGGCGCTCCTGCTCCTCCCGGCGGGCACGCAGCTGCTCCTCGGCCAGTGCCATCTCCTCCTCCATGGCAGACACTTCCTCCTTGGCACGGCGGCGGTTCTCCTGGAGCAGGGCAGGGGAGGTCAGGGAGAGGCAGAGCGGGCCAGCAGCCGACTCGCTGCAAGCCCACAGGCCTGCTCCCTCCACGTCAGAGAGCACACACCGTGCTGTAGAGCAGGTATGCAGTGGGCCTGCTGTCTGCCAGCTCATCCTGCACAGGAAACTCACCTGACGTGACTTGCCAGCATGCTTGATACTGTAGAACATGGGGCCCAGCTCTGCCAGCCACTCTCCATCCACAGCGGTGACACACTGCATGTATTCCTGCAGGGACAGAGGAAAGGTCAGAGTAGCAGGATGGCACTTGCAGACTGGGCACCATTTCCAGAGCCATGGCAGCTCCCCCCCTCCCCCACTTGCTGATGGCACTTTTCATGCTGGGCTACACCCCTTCCAGATCATTCCTGCCAGCCTCAGAAGCTGCTACGGGCTGGACTTGGAGAGACTGCAAAGTTCAAACATGTCCCACACAGGTCAGGGAAAAAAAGGAACAAACAGGACTCTGCAGATGACATAGACATGCTTGGTTGGTATAGATGGGAAATGCTGATAACCACCCCTCCAACAACTCCTAGTATCACGGCAAAGCCCTCCCACCTCCCTCATCATGACAGCACTCATCAGCCTTTCGGCCAGCCCTCAGCTCAAGCTCACCTTGGTGGTCATGACCAGCTCATGGTACACAATGTAGTCTGGTGTGTAGCCCATGCCAAACAGAGAGCTTGTGGGGTGCAGGTGGCAAGGCATGCCCGTACGGATGTTCACATACTCCCCAATGCCCTGCAAAGAGGAGTATCGTCAGTGCCCCAGCTCCCAGACAGGGCTTTTCAGCCTCAGACCAGCAGAGACAACTCTCACCTTAAGCTTTGCAGCTTGATGGAAATACGCAGCACAGATGCACTTCCTGACAACATCCCAGTCAGTACCACAGGATGCCAGGCTCATCCGCTGCTGCACCATGATGTCCTTGAGCTGGGCACGCACCTCCCGCACCTGCAGGGGTGTGTGACAGTCAGACCCCTCTCCTGTGTAATGCTCCCACCCACAGCCTCATTGCCACAGCCTCACCTTCCGCATGGCCTTGGCATGGATGAAGTGCTGGTTGCACCACAATGTGGAATAGCTGTTGTTCTTCCACTGCAGGTAAACATTCAGGTAAGTCAAGTGATCACTCTCGGGAACAGCAAATTTTTCCCGCACTTGGTCACTCTCCTCCTCTCGGCCCTGAAGGGTGAGAAAAGAACACAGGTTAGTCAAAGACCAGGCTGGACAAGGCCTTGGGTGATATGATTTAGCGAAAGGTGTCCCTGCCCATGGCAGGGGGGTTGGAACAGGATGATCTTAAGGTCCTTTCCAACCCTAACGATTCTATGATTCTAAATATCAGCGGAAAGCCCCAGACTGCTGAAGGAGCAAACAAGTACCTTAGGCCGATAAAAGATGGCAGGTACAGACAACATGGAGACAATAAGCAAGATCTCGGAGCTGCAACCCATGTCACAGGAGACAATGAGCATTTTGGAGAGTGCAGGATCCAGTGGAAACTCCACCATGAGACGTCCCGTTGAGGTCAGACCACCTATAGGAACAGCACAGGGGTCAGCAGCTGGGCAGGTCCCACTCCCACAGGGTGACAGCTTGCCCCAGCAGCCAAAGTACCAGTGTTATCCAGGGCTCCCAGGATCCACAGCTGATACATGGAGTTAAGCATGTTGTCCTCAGGGGGTGGATCCATGAAGTGGAACTGCAGCAGGTCCTGCACACCCAGGGACTTGAGCAAAAGCACCACATTGGCAAGGTTGGTGCGCTGGATCTCAGGCACTGTGGTTGTCAGCAGCTCATTCTTGTAGGCACTCTGGGTGTAGAGCCTGGAAAACAGATGACAAGAGCATGTTCCTCACATTCAGGCCATGGTGTCCACTACTGACTCACCCACCGCTGCCCACCCCAGCCAGCAGGACATCAGAGAGGAACTTCTACCCTGGCCAACATGTGGCCTCCCCAGCGCTTAAGGGTACCCGTGCTGCAGCACAGTGCACACCCTTCACAAGCACAGTAATTCCCTGGGCACAGACCAGCCTCAAAGCAATGCATTGAGAAAGCTGCTTGGCTTGGCTGTTACCCTCACAGGATCAAGGGCAGAACAGCCACAAGTGAAAACAGGCAAGGGAAGAAACTGGAGCATGGCCTTTGCTCTGCAGAGGCACTGGGTCCAAAAGACAAGGGCTCAAGACCTGCCTACTGCTCTCATACCTCCAGAAGTTCAAGACAACAAACAGCTCCAGTGAGAAAAAAGTATGTATAACCTGATGCCAAGCTGCAGATAGGACAGGAACAGGAACACCATTATGTGCCTACCTGAAGCAGTGGCCTGGGCCCGTTCGGCCAGCTCGGCCTGCCCTCTGGTTGGCGTTGGCTTGACTGATGGGGTAGATCTGCAGTGCATCCATGCCTATACGGGGGTTGAAAACCTGCAGGACATAAGCAGAACAGAGTGAAGAAAGAGGAAGGCTGGGTCACTACCCAGTCACAGAACCCCCTCAGACCAAACCCAGAGATGACAGACATAAATAGTACAGGAAATCATGGCTTACCTTCAACTTGCAGTAGCCAGAGTCAATCACAAACATGATGCCGTCCACTGTTAGTGAGGTCTCTGCAATGTTGGTGGCAACAATGCACTTCCTGACCCCATCTGGAGCCTGCAAGCATACTGCACGTTAGTCACAAAAGGCACGCCTGCACCTCTCACTACCTCAGTTGTCTTCCCTGTACTAGTTTCTCCTACCCCCACCCCTACCACAGAGAACACATCAGCACCTTCTGGAAAATCTTGGCCTGCAAGTCCGATGGCAGCTGTGAATAGATAGGCAGAACAGCGAGCGCAGGCGCCTTCTCCAGCTCTTCGAGGTGCTCAATGATTTGCTCTGAGGTCACCTAGGCACAAGAGGGGTGTAACCATAAGATGGGGTGTAATCATAAACAACAAGGGGGTAGGATAGTGCCTACCCTTCCAGCTCACCTCTATGTCCTCCTGGCCAGGCATGAAGATGAGGATGTCTCCAGGAGCACCAGACAAATGGACCTGCAGGGCTTGTTTCACTGCAGCTTCCACATAATCCTCTTGTGGGGTCTGAAAGGCACACCCAGATTTCAGACATCAGTATGTGACCTGCCCAACCCTTCGTGCAAGACTGCATCACAGCCCAGCTTCTCCTCCTCTATCCTTTGACCACCACAGAGTGCTGTACACCCGAGAATCAACCCCCTTCTGTCACAACAGAACTTTCCCCTGCAACACATTGACCATACCTTGCTGAAAAGAATATCAACAGGGAAGGTGCGCCCAGGAATGTGGAAAATGGGAACGTTTCCAAAGAAGGAGGCAAACTTATCCGCATCCATGGTGGCTGAGGTAACAACAAGCTTCAGATCTGAACGTCGGGCCACCACCTAGAAAGCGGATGAAAGGAACAGTAAGAAAAGGGCCCTTGGGCATGGCTGCAGCACAGGACAGAGCTTCTGTACTCTAGAGTCACTGGCTGTTAATGCCAGGGAACACAGATGCAGTTAAGCTTATTTAACTGCTCTGTGCAGTTAAGTAAGACCAACCTTGGTCCAGGAAGCCTTAAGCCAGCAAAGATCTCTGTACCTAGTGACAGCTAGCCAGCAAGCTTCTGGCAGCACTTCTGGCATTAGGGGAGATTTAACAGCTAATTAAAACTAAGGGTTAGAACCACAGGCTAGGATGGTGGAGCAGCAATGCAGAGATGTGGCAGAGCTGCTTCCTTCTCCCAGACCTGGTAGAGAAGGCCCATCCCTGTCAATACTTTGTGTTAAGACCAGCTCATGTCCTCTGTGCTGCTGTTGTCCTGTCCAGGCTCACATACCTCCCGAAGCAAGCCAAAGAGCACGTCAGTATTGAGCGAGCGCTCATGTGCCTCATCCATGATGATAGCACTGTAGTTGTCCAGGTCAGCCTCTCGCAGGGACTCACGAAGAAGAATCCCATCTGTCATGTATTTGATCAACGTGTTCTCGGACGTGCAGTCCTCAAAGCGGATGGCGTAGCCCACCTGGGAGGGTAGAGATACAAGTTGGTCTCCGAACAGTCCCATGCACTCACTGTCCTCAGCCCACAGCCCTGCACCCACTGCCAGGCTCACCTCCTCCCCAAGCCGCACGCCCATCTCCTCACTGACCCGCTTGGCAACGGACATGGCTGCCACCCTGCGGGGCTGCGTGCAGCCAATCATGCCGTAGTCGGTGTACCCATCCTCATGCAGGTACTGTGTCAGCTGTGTCGTCTTCCCGCTCCCCGTCTCCCCCACCACAATCACAATGCTGTTGTCTCTGAAGAAGAAAGGGAAAAAGTATTTCTTTACACACCATGAAGGGCTTTTGCACTCACAGCCCTGGTTGGTCACCCATGCATCACCCCCCTCAGACGGAAGAACTGCCACCAAGGCAGCGGGGTTTGTTTCCTGAGGGTGCAGCATCCAAACAGGCCATGTAGCTGGGAGAATTTCTCACTTGGGTTTCTGAGATATAGGTCAATGCCCTGGGAATGCTCTCTGACCAGCTCCCTAGCAGCCATACCTGAGGATGGAGAGCAGCTCCTGCTGCACAGCAAAGATGGGCAGATACTGTCTCTGCTCCAGGATTGATTTCTTCTTGGCAAACTCGCTGCTGGCTTCATTTTTTTCTTTCATGTGTTCAGCAAACTTCTGCTCAGTCCTGAGGAAACACCAGAAGTCCACACACTTTGTTAAGCAAATGGACCCCATATAGACCCCATTACTGACTGAGCAGGAGTAATTAAAAGCAAGCTCATACTTGTAATCCACTTTGCCATCTTCTGTCACCATCTCATCCTTCTCGTCTTCTTTCTTGATCCCCATAATGTCTCCCAGTTTTGTGCCTGCCAGCTCCCAGTGCTTATGCTGAGCCTGGAAGGAGAGAGAGCACCATAACTGCCACAGCAAGCCCTGACAAATCATTCTTCTCCAATCCTATTCATAAGACTAGGAAAGCATGTTAGCCCCACAGTTCTAGTGCTAGAACACAGAACACATACCCCATTCCTATACCAAGTCTCCCTCTTCCAAGTGAGCCAAAGCAGAGCTCTTTAGACACTGGTCTGGATACAGAGAGTATCCAGACAGATATGCTGGATAAACAATATCCCAGGTCACAAAAATATAAACTCCTTATTATCACTTGCTGCCAAAGCCTATACTCTGCAAAGTCCAAACAAAGGCTGTAAAGAACTATATAACATATACAGGGCAGTAGTAAGTCAAAAAAAAGGTCACAGCATACCCTCTTACGCTCCTTTTGCTCCCTGTGCTTTCGCACCAACTGGCTGCCTTTCCGGGCTATGATGGCCAAATCTGAGGTGGCGTCCTTGACAGGGATGACTGGCTCCGGCTAGAGGAAAGAGGTACTGTTTCAGCATGAAGAGCTCACACTTCTGGGGCTCCCTGCCACCAGTCTGCAGCCACAGTTTTTACCTGCTTGGTGAAGACAATCCTTCCATCTAGGAAAGGGGGCACCAGGTTGTGCACCAACAAATGCACTTTAGCTGAGTTATCCTCCTCAAAATCGTCATCAATTTCAATCCGATGGACCACACCGCTGGTCAGCATCCGATTTGTCTCCCAGCGCTCGTTATCCTAAGGGAAACAGCATGTTAGAAAGAATACAAAAGCCTCACAGAAAGCCCAAAAGATCACACCAGAGCTTAGGGGTCTGGGACCCACACTGACAATAGGATGAAACTGATGCTTCCAGCCTAGGAAGCCTGAAACCAAGCACTTAGGGAAGAATCAATAACTGGAAGCAGCAGGGTACAGGAAACACAGTCTGACCCGATGAAGCACATGCTCAACAAGGCTGTCTCCAAGGAAATGCAGGAGAGGCATTTTCCACAAGGCCCCTGCCATACTCAGAACACACCAGGAAGCCAGGACATAATCCTGCTTGTGCTAAGGGTAGCAACCCCCACCATCACTGGGCCAACAGCAGACAACCCGTGTGATGTAACTCACACCCCAAAACAGCAAGAGCATAGCCCTTCACATTCCTGTTGCCCTGCGCACTGTGAACCACTGCAGTTACTCTGTGCAGCAGGTACAGGGTTGCACTGTCCAGGGGAGCTTAGCAATAGCTTCCCTGTGAGCCTGGGCCAGGACACACACCGTGCTTCCCCACCTCGCAGCAGAGGCTTAGCTTTGCAGCCACCAACCAGATCTACGGAGGGACGGCAAACCCCACTCGTTCACAACAGCCCTTACCTCGTTGATCTGCCGCCGCTGCGCTGAGATGCGCGTCTGCCTCTGCTTGTGCAAATGCTGCTCCCGCTTCTTCACGTACTCGTCGGAGGAACAGGCCAAGGGGTTGTGAAACTCGTCGTAGCCCTCATCCATCATGTACCAGTCCCGGTCAGCTTGCTGGGAGGGGAGAGGCGCTGCCATGAGCTCCCTCGGCCCCGGAAGCCACCAGGGCCGGGCCGGGCGCTGCCGCTGCTCCCGATGTGGCCGCCGGGGGGAGCCCGCCCGCCGCCCGCACTGCTGCCTGCCCGCCCCGAGACCCGCGGCTCTCACCCGCTGATCGTCCTCCCACTGCTGCCGCTCCTCCTCCGTCTCGAAGGCGATGCCCTCCTCCCCGTCTGTGCGCCGGCCTGGAGGGGCGAGCAGGTCAGTGCGGCCCCAGTCCGGGCGCGCAGGGGGAAACCCTACAGCACCCAACCTGGTGCTTCCCGGGAGAAGGGAATTTCCACGGTGCTTTCCCAGGTAGCTCAACCCTGGCTCCTCACCTCTCCCTCTGGACAGCCGTGGTGTAGACCCGAGGTGTCTCCGGTCATCAGCCCACTCGTTGTATTTGTACGATGGTGTGGGCAATGGTGTCTTATCTGAGTACCTGCTCCTTACAGACCTGGAAAACAGCACAAGGGAGGAACTGGTGTCAACAGCCAGGCACAACCCTCACATACACCCTCCCCTTTCTGCAACTAACAGCTCAGCCCCAGGCACTCATACCTGTCCCGGTCTCTCCGGTCCGTGTCCCGCTGTGATGATGGCCGGTGGCTGCGCTCCGAGTCTCGGGAGGAAGGCATGGGCGAGGGAGATTCCCACTGTGAGCGGCGAGCACTGCTGGAGCCAGTGTCATCCTCCTCCCAGCCAGAGCGAGACGGCGTGGCTGCATCTAGCAGAGAAGATGGGGTTTGGCACCTGATGTTCAGTGACCTCCTAATGACCAGGAGCCACTGTACACCTAGCAAGGAGCACGGAGAGAGGGTACCCATCTGCCCCTATCTGAAACATAGGACTGGGCCAGAATTCCAAGGAAAATTGCCAAGTGACCGCATTTCTTTCACACAGACCCAGAACAGACCCCACTGCACAGAGATCAGCCAGATGTCCACACACATGGCTGGCAGATTGCTCCTGGGCCCAGGTCAGGCTAGGAGTTTTAGGTTTACCCTAACCACAAATGTTAAAAGATACAGGCTTTTTGACCCACACTTGTCGTGACAAAAGCAGCAGAAAATATTAACAACAAAAAGAACAAACCCCTTCCTGTTTGGTCTCACATAAGAATTCTGCTGGGTCCCACTCCTACCTTTGGGCCGATGCCTGGGACTCTCTGGTTCACTCCTCCTGCTGCTGCGCTCTGATGAGCTGTCCCTGTCTGACCTGCTGCTGTGACGACTTCTGTCCCGTTCCTCTGCAAAAGGAAAGTGAGATGATGGGGTAAGTGCACAAGCAGGCTTCCCAGATCTGCTGCAGAAACCACCATGAACATTAGCTAAGGACTGCAAACAGGCTGAGGGATGAGCCCAAGCCCTAAGCAGTAAGAGGCACAAAGGTCTTTTGGACAATTACCACGGTGCCGTTTGCGATCATGGTCCCGGTCCCTACTGCGTTCCTTCTTCTGCTGTTTCTCCTCCTTGGAGGAGGCAAAGACACCATGTGCCCGACGGTCCCTTTCACGCTGCCGGTTGCGTTCCCAAAACTCCTCACTGACGCCTCCCGTGTAGGAAGGTGATTCCACATGGGTAGAACGGTAATGCCTGCAAAGACAGAGCAGACAACAAAAGCTCAAGAGTGCTGAGGAATAGTTGGCCTTCAACTTGACTCACACAACTCTACTTCTAACCTCTGCCGTAGCAGAAGCTTACAGCTGAAAGTGCTCTCTCTATCCTTTGCTAACAGCACACCGCGTCTCTGATGCTCTCACATGCAATTCTGAACAGGCCGCAGCCTCCAGGCTGGTGATTGCAGGCCTGACAGCACTTACCCTTAACACCCCAGGCAGGGCAGCAGCGAAGAGCCTTGCCCAGAGTTCCTCAAACCTAGAGGTGCCCCCGGTCCCACCCGAGGAAATTCGCCGCCCCGCCGGTCACCGGCGCAGCCCCGCACACCCTGACGGTGCTCACGCTCATTCCCCCACGGGGATCCGGCAGCCGCGGAGGACCCGGTGGCACCGAACACCCACCCGTCCCCGCAGACCTACCTGTGAACGCCGTGGCTGCTCCGGGTGCCCTCGTCGCTGTCCTCCTCGGCGTTGCCCGCCTCGCCGCGGCTCTCTTCCCGGTCCTCCCCGTGCGAGGCGACCCGGGACCGCTTCCTGCTCACCTCCTCCTCCCCTCGCTCCCGCCGCTTCTGGGCCGCCAGCACATCCAGGCCCAGCAAGGAACCCCGTGGTGCCGGCGCCTTGAAGACGTGCAGCTCGGCGGCGGCGCTGCGCTGCCGCAGAACCAGCCCGCCGGCCTCGCCGTCCGGGGTGGTCCCCGCCAGGCGGTGCAGAGACCCCTCGGCCATCGCCATCGCCGCCGATGAGCGGGCGAGAGGGGTAAGCACTGGAGCTCTGCCTCTGTCTGCGTCTGCGTCTGCCTCTGTCCGCGTCTGCGTCTGCCTCTGTCCGCGTCTGCCCCTGTCCCTGTCCCTGTCCCTGCCCCTGCCCCTGTCCCTGTCCCTGCCCCTGTCCCTGCCCCGTCCCCGCCCCTACCCTACCCCTGCCCCTACCCTACCCTAACCCTGTCCCTATCCCCACCCCCGCCCCTACCTCTGCTCCCGCCCCCACCTCTCCCCCCACCCCCACCCCCGCCCCTACCTCTGCCCCCGCCCCCACCTCTGCCCCTGCCCCTGCCCCCGCCTCTGCCCCCGCCTCTGCCCCTGCCCCTGCCCCGCTTGCGGTTGCCTCAGCGCCGTTCCGCCAGCTCCCCCGGCGCCGAAATGGCCGCCCCACAGTGCTCCGCGGGAAGAGCCGCTCTAGCCGCGCGCACCACAGACACAGGGCCCAGAGCCTATAGGAGCGGCAGCCACCATAGAGTGCAGCGCCGCTGGACAAGACGCGCTACCTGTCCCTCGGCGGACTTCCGGGGCGAGGGAACAGCGCGGGGTCATGTGGCTCCGGGGCACTTCCGGGTGCGAGCGGCCGGGGCTTCCCGTGCCCAGCGCTGAGCACGGGGCCGGAGGTGCGGCCTGGTAACGTTACGTTCTGAGTCACGCTAGTTTTTATGGCTTTGTAACGGAAAGGAACGGCGGTGCTTGAAGGTCGTTCGCATAGCTTTGTGTGCTTAGGACCGTAGTTAAAAAAGCGTAAGGAAAGCAGAACAGAAAAACGGGAGCTGGGGATGGGGAGCGTCTGGGACTTGCAGATGTCCAGGGTGAGCACAGTAAAAGTGATGAAGAGAAGGACAGGGTGATGGCTGTGTTTGTGGTGTTAATGAAGACATTGAGCTCGTGTAAACATCTGCTGGGGAGTATCCGGGCCTAGCAGATGTCCAGGATGGGAGCAGTTAAACTAACTGCTAAGTAGAAGGACGAGATAATTGCTGTGTCTGTGGTGTTAATTAAGCGGGTGATTCAAAGACTGCCAGAACTGATGAAGATTGTTGACAGAAGTAAACGACCCTCAGAGACCACCACCACATTTTTGTATGCATGCCGGAAACTTTCCGGAAAATGATATAATTCGTGTGTAGCCTCATGAATATGCATGTATGCCGAGTGACTGTATAAGGCCGGCTTGTGTAGCAATGTGGTGACACGCGTTAGGAGGAGCTCTCCCCCGTGTCTCCCGGCGCCGCAATAAAGAATACCTGCTTGTCAGCTTGGAACTCTGTTCGAGAGTTTGTTCCTGGAGTTTTCTCTGAATCGGGCCTCACCAGTGCCCAGTGCAGGGGCACAACCCTGCCCTGGCCCTGCTGCCACACTGGTGCTGATACAGCCCAGGATGCTGGTGGCTGCCTGGGCACAAGCTGCCCAAGCTCAGCTCCATCAATCAGCACCCCCAGCTCCTTTCCCATGAGCAGTTTCCAGCCACTCTTCCCCAGCCACTCTTCCCAACCACCCACAGACCCCCACCAGTCTCTGGGGTTCTCACAGACACCCACGCAGGACAGGGGGGGAAGGAACCCCACAGACACCCCACACACAGGGGGAAGGGGAGAACCCCACAGAGCCCGATGCAGCCCCTGCAGACAAGCTCCCCCCAGGCACCACCACAGGGGAGCACTGCACAGATCCCACAGGCACCATCCCACCAAGGGCATGCACACACTGTGTGCAGACAGATACACAGACAGAGATTGCTTGTGGTGGGTGCAGGGCAGCTTTATTCGTGCACGGCCCTCCCTCAGCTGGCTGCCACCGTGTCCTTGATCCAGGCCAGGACACGCTGCACATCCACATATACGCCATACTTGGAGGCCCTGCAGGTCTTGTCATAGCTGAGGATGCCAGCTGCATACCATGTGTCATCATCGGGGTCCTGCACAGCGAAGGCACCACCAGCATCCCCATAGCACGTGTCTTCCTGCAGCTCACTCATGCCCACACAGAAGGTGTCATTGGTGAGGAGGGGCTGCACCCAAGAGGATGCATTCCGTGCCCCATAGTACTGCCGGCACTTCTCCCCCTCTGCCACTGGCAGCATCACATACTTCAGCATGCTGGAAAAGGCAAAGGTGGCACCACGGCCCCAGCCTGAGACATAACCCACACGCCCTGGCTGCACATAGTCCTTCTGTGGAAGGCAGATGGGCATTATCTCCTCTCCAAGGAACACCTTTTCCTTGAGCTTCAGCAGGGCCAGATCCACAGCCTCTGGGTAGCCGGGGTGCAGCACCACGTGCTCAATGGCCAGGGCAGGCTGCTCCCGGCCACCCAGGAAGAGCTGCAGTGTAGGGGCAATCTCCTCTGGCTTGGTGCTGTCGCTGTGGTTCAGGTACACGTTCCTGCCCGTGGTCAGCAGCCACTGGTCACTGATGAGTGTGGCCCCCACAGTGAGGTTGTGTCGTGTCACCAGCCGGCCCTGCCAGGGAAAGCTGCCCTTCCCAGCCAGCAGGCCCCCGATGATACGCTGCATCTGCCTTGGGGGGTTCTTTGGCTTCCCGCACACTGCATGGGGCAGAGCATGGCCCTGGTGAGCCCCTGAGGCTGGCAGGTGCCAGCAGCAGCCCCAGGGAGAGGCGCTGAAATTGTGAGCAGCCCCTGCATTCCCTTGGCTGCGCAGGCAGACACTGTCAGCCTCCTGCCACCTTGCTTGCTGCAGCCCCTGCAGCTCTGCTCTCACCTGGCTCGCAGACAGGTGCTTCCTTGCCAGCTCCAAGGCTCACCCATGCTCGATTCTCATCACACTTGTATGTCCCTTTGGAGGGAAACCAGAGTCAGCACCTCTACTCTGCACAGGGGAAAGCCCCATAGCCAGGGAGGCACAAAGGTGCTTGTACCTCCCCAGGCTTGAGCGAGTAGGGGAGCTAATTGTAGCCCCAAGGAAGCCAGGGGGGACGGGACAGGACAGGACTGCATCATCCAGCACTGGGGCAGGGGCAGCTCTGTGCAGCACCTAGAACAGGGGACAAGCCCCATCCTTGGGTGCTATGCCCAGGCCCTGAGCCTCACCGTCACCAGCGCCACGCAGTTGATAGTACGGGTCACAGTGGTACTTGACAAGGTGCTCCACGTACCCATGCTCGATCTCCGGAGGCTTTACACAGCTCCACTCTGCAGGAAGTGGAGGCTCAGCTGGCTGGGAGGAACAGCCCAGGACAGAGCCCTCATCTCCAGCAGGTCCCCCCCAGTCCCGTCTCCCTGCCCCACACCTGCCCCACACCTGCCCCACTGCCCATGCCTCTGTCTGTGCCCCTGAGCTCCCACCCATGCCCTGTAAGGTACCGGAGGCAGCTGCAGTCTCCAGCACAGTCCAGGCCAGGCCAGCAACCAGCAGCACTGCAGGTCTGCAGGGAAAAAGGGACACGCTCATCAGAGGACTCCTACCCCTGCTCCCAGCCTGGGCTCCACCACGACCAGTGCCGCAGCCAGGCTCATGCTCTGTTCCAGAGGCTCTGGGCACCAGACACAGGCTGGAGAAGTCGCCTGGGTCAGACCCGAGCCCTGCTGCTGTGGAGGATGAGGCTGCAGTGCTGAGACCTGGAGCACCTCCAACCCCACTCCGGTCCCACCGCAGCCCCCAGCAGGGCCAGGTCCTCAGGACAAGCCGGGCAGACAGTGCATTGCTCACCCCATGCTCATGGCTCCCTCTCCTCCCGCAGGCTGGTGCTGTCCCGGGCTCCCTCTTCACGCCTTTTATTGCCACCTCCCTCTCCCTGGGGCAGCCCCCGCTCCAGACCTCTTGACCCGCACTGCCTGCAGCCAGCACCTTTCCCAGCAAGGAAGAGCACAAATCCAGCTGGCTCGGGGCCAGCCTGGAGCAGGTCCTGGAGCTGGCCAGGCCCCCGAGCAGCCCCATGCCAAGACATTCTGGGATCCTGCAGCTACGAACATGCAGGAAGGGATCTGACCGCAGCCCCGGGTGCCCTGGCACCGTGACACCGACTGAGGCTTGCAGGAAGCAGAGCCAGCCCCGCAGAGCTGCCCCACGCCATTGACTTGCGCACATGCCAGCCCCGCAGAGCACCGGCACCCACCCACGGCTGGCAGGTGATGGGCACAGGGCCCGAGCCCCATCCACCCTGTGCCTGGCTCTGCCCAAACACCCAGCACCCTTCCTGCCAGCCCTCACGTCGGGGTATACTCTGCACCCCACCACCTCTCACATCGGGGTACACCCTGCTGCCCCACAGTGCCCTGTGCAGCCCCAGCCGGGCTGGCCGAGGATGCAGCATCTCCGTTCCGCGGCAGGGCCCAAGGCACCGCGCCCGGGCCAAGCTCTTCCCGCAAGCACCCGCCCCTTCCCGCACGCCCGCGGTCAGAGCCCCTCGGGGCACTGGTTTGTCCTGACGGGAACTGGTGCAGCGGCCGCTGGACAGAGCCCAGCTGGAAGCGGCCGCAGCGGCGCGGAGCAGCACAGGGCAGCCGGCGCCGGGCGTGGGGTCTGCTTCCAGCAGCGCAGCCAAGGGCAGCGAGCGGGGGCCGCGCACCCGCTGTCACCACTGAAGCTGGGCCTGCCGGGATCTCACCAGCACCCTCCTGTCCTCCAGCCCTCCGGGGCATCCGTCTGGTCCCACACTTCAGCAAAGGCCTTCCCACCCTGTGCAAGCCTCCTCCCCTCCCACGGGGTGCCTGTGCCACAAACCACGCAGGGCTGGACAGCTCTGGCCCAGCACCAGTCACACTCGTGCAGCCACACTTGAAACACACAAAGCTGGAATCCAGCGCATGATGCATCAGGGCTCTGATCCATGAACCGCACCAGCACTCAGGAAGGCGCTGTTGCAGTTGGCAGCAGGCTTAGAGCAGCAATAAGCAGAACACCTCGGACATGAAGGAGCAGAGGGCTGCAGGAGCAGGAGGGAGGCAGCCCTGATGTGAGCTTGGGGCCATAGAGAACAGGGTCAGCACTCCTGCTCCTCCTGTAAACAAGGCTGGTGAAGAGCTGTGTTGCAATCCCGCTCTGCAGGGTGGGCTGTGGGGCGGAAGAGAGAACACTGTGTCCAGGTCAAGCTGTGTTGCTCAAGAAAACCTGGAGGACTACAGGGAGTCCAGGGTAAAGACGCAGCCAACACCGGAGGCTCCAAAGGCAAAGCAGACTCCAGAGGCACGAACAAACAGAGCCTTTTCATAACAACCAACAGGGCATAACCACAGCTCTCTCCAAACACCTATGTACTGTCAGCAAAGGGAGGAAACGCCACCTAGCACCTCCCAGGACCCAGCCTCAGGCAGAGCTCTCTACGAAGGAAGCCCTGGTGAGTTTTGTGCGGATCCATCCCAGAGCCGGGCTAGCACAGGGCTTCTGCCACAGGAAAAACATGCTCTGACAAGGAACAGCAGAGCTAAGCCCTCTGGACTGCATCCCTCTGACCCCAGCGGATCCCCGAAGCACACACAAGACCAGGGGAGTCAAACATTTATTGATGCTCAGGCAGGACCAAGGTCTGCATCAGTACCACATCTGGAGAAGGGAGGGGGGCAGATCCTGCTGTGCTGCTGTGGTGCAGGACCAGGCACCAGCAAGGGCAGGGGCTGTGGGTCCCAGGCAGGAGGACACTCCATACACTGTATGGCCCACAGCTGTGGCAGTAACACAAGGGAAGGCAAACCCTCCGTGGGAAGTGCTGCAGCAGGAGCTGCACAGAGGACAGCCCACAGTGCACAGCGCTGCCCCTTGGGGGCCTTTCTCGCCAGCCAGCAGAGCCTTACCCCATGCTGCTTTGTGCTGGGGAGCCCAAACACAGGAGAGCCAAAATACAGCCCTGGGCAGCAGCACCAGCAGGAGGTCCCTTCCCCTGCTCCCCATCAGCACTGACCCTTCCCAAAGGCTGGGACCGGAGCTTCAGCTTAGCCCCAGCCTGCCCAGCGCTGGAAACATCAGACATATCCCTGCTTGTGCAGAGCTCCTCCAGCATGATCTTGGTTCTGCAGCATGTCAGGACTGGTGATCAGCTCCAACTGCCTCCATTACGTTCCTGAAGCCCTGCTCCCTACAAGGGACAGCGTGTGCCCACAGGCCGGCCTGGCACCGTGCCTCGGCCCAGCAGTACTGTGCCCGAGCACTGGCATATGGCTGCCTGGAGCTGCCCTGGGGCTCCATGGGGACGTGTCTGGCCCTCACTCACCTCAGCAGCTCCTCCAGCTCCTGCTTCACTGCCTGCACCACTGGTGGCCCGTGGTACACGAGTGCTGTGTACATCTGCACAAGCGAGGCTCCAGCACGGATCTTCTCCAGGGCATCCTGCCCGCTGCTCACACCACCCACCCCGATGATGGGCACCTGGCCTGTGGCAGATACGGGGTCAGGACAGCACAGACGACACTGGCCCAGGCCCCCAGGCCCCTGCCCCTACCTCGGGTGAGGGAGTACATGTCCCTGATGGTCTGTGTGGAGAGCTCCCGCAGGGGCTTCCCACTGAGGCCACCAGGCTCCGAGCGCTGCCGGCTCTGGAGGCTGCTGGGACGGCTCACCGTGGTGTTGCTGACAATCAGCCCATCCACACCGAGCTGAGGGGGGGGCAGCAGCATGAGGTCCACGAGCAACCCCCGCTCTCACCCCCCAGTCGCCAGGCCAGCACCCCTTAGGGACATGCACCAGCAACGTGCCCCGGGACAAAGCAGCCACCTCCCCCTGCCTCTGGGTGGCACAGAGAGGCCCTCATAAACTCAGAGCTACAAAGGGCACTGTCCCTACAGCAGCCAGAGTGCTGCAGGTCTGCGTGTCCCTTCGGAGGTGACTTGCCAGGAGCACAGTGGTCCTGCGATCACGCTGCAGGACACAGCACCCCAGCTCCTTGCCAGCCTCCCGCTCCCCCCTCCTCACCTCGCAGACAACGCTGGCAATGTCCTGCTTGTCCTGAGTGCTGAGGTCAGGGGCAATCTTCACCAGCACAGCTGGCTTGCGTGCGCAGGGCAATGCGTCCCGTGCTGCCAGTACCTGCAGGGCAGCGCATGAGCCACAGAGCAACATGTGCTGGGGACATGTGTGCACCCACTGCCAGCAGCAGCACGGGACGGGTCCTGCTCTCCTCATGTGCTGCCAGGGCACGCGACCTGCACAGGCCCACAGCGAGTCCCAGTGCCGTGGGGCAGGGAGGCAAAGCGGAGGGCAGTGCCACACTGCTTATGTGCTTCTTGATGGAGTACAGTACCCCAGTGAGCCCTGTGCCAGCAGCTGACCAGGGGACATCTTGGTGGCTCTGCCCACCTCTCCAGGGTGCCACCATGCTCCTTCCTGTGCTGGCAAACCCGGCCGGAGCAGAGCAGGCACTACCAGATGCACCCACTGGTGCAGCTGTGGTCTGGGCTGGCTGTGAGGGTCACCCACCTTGGTCAGCAGGTCCTGCAGCTCAGCCTTGCCCTGCAGATGCCGCAGGCCTGGCGTGTTTGGGCTGGACACGTTCACAACCAGATAGTCAGCCAAAGGGCCCAGTGTCCGGACCCCAGCCACATAGTCAGCTGCAGCATCAGTGGAGCTCTTGTTCTTGCCCAGGTTGATTCCAAGGGGCATCCCCACTGGAACACAGACATGGCTGAAGCATAGCAGCAGGACCACCCACCGCCCAGAGCACCTGACACAGGAGCCCCGGCAGCAGCTAAAATCAAGATGGGGATATGCAGACCATGTGTTTCATGGGGGTTTGCCTGGGAATGTCCTGCAAGCACAGGAGCATCACCACAGCTGCCCCAGTTAACACCTCCAGCACCGCAGCCTCCAGCCTGCACACACAGCAGAGACTGCTCTTGGAAACTGCCCAGCTCTGGCTGCTCTCAGCAGCAAACGTAGCCTCTGTTGCAGAGCAAATGCCTGGAGAAAGGTGCTGATCACAGTCCCAAAGAGAAGAGCTACAGCCCCAAGAGGGTTCCTGCTGTCCGAGTGCACCTTGGTCTGGCCAGGGCCCTCCCATGCTTGGACACTGGCTTTACACACTCTTCCTGGCCTACATGGAACCCATGGAGACAAAAAACTACATGGGAGACCCCAAACCCACCCTGCAGACTCCGAGAGCAAAGGCTGATAAGCTGCCTCACCACCAGTGAGCCGGAGCTGTGTGTCCTGGCGGGCCCGCAGCCTGCACTCCACTGCAGCGTGGCCATGGCTGTTGAACCCATACCTGCACCACAACAGGCAAGGTTCAGGGCTGTGCTGGGGCCACAAGACCCGAGCAGGACACAGGAGAAACAGGAAGAGACAGCTCAGCTCTGCTCAGCACATCCCACATAGGAGCCACCACAGCAGAGCCAGTACCACCCAAACAAACACCCAGCCCCGTGTGGGCAGCCCATGGGACCCTGCAGAGCTGCACCCTCGGGTCCCACCTGTTAATGACTGCCTCGTCCTCCACCAGCCGGAACACCCTGGGCCTGGGGTTCCCCTCCTGGGGCTGGGGCGTCACAGTCCCGACTTCCACAAAGCCGAAGCCCATCTTGTACAGCCCATCCACGGCCTCGCCGTGCTTGTCGAAGCCAGCCGCCAGGCCCACCGGGTTGCAGAACCGGTGCCCGAGCACTCGCACCTCCTGCAGGGGAGGGGCCGGGTCACACACGGTCAGCCGGGAACCAGACCCTCGTCCCGGCCCGTCCTCCGTTTCTTCTGCCCGGGGGACCTGCGCTCCGGCCGGGGCCATCTTCTGAGCCCGGGACCACGCCAGGAGCCCCGGCGTGCACCTCCGCGGACCTGCCCGCTCTCTCCGCCGTGCCCGCTGCCCCCCGCCCGTCACCCGCCCCGGTGTCCGCCCACCGCAGAGCCGCACCAGCGCTGGGCCGTCGGGACGGGCGGGAGGCAGCAGCCCCAGAGCGGCGACGCGCAGAGCCAGCCTGTGCGCGGCCTCGGGGGGTAGGGCGCGGAGCGCGGGCATCGCCGCCGCGTAGAGCCGCTCATCGCCCGCCGCCAGCGCCGAGCCCAGCAGCAGCCCGCAGCCGCCCAGCGCCGCCGCCAGCGCCCGCAGCCGCCCCTACGGGAGATGGTCAGCAGCGACATCGTCAGGACGGCGCCCGTCCCACAGCCCCCCCCGCCCCGGCCCCAAGGACCCCCACCCGGCCGCCCCGGCCCCGCACCGCCCCGGCCCGGCCCCATTCCCCTACGTCCCCCGCCCATCCGTGGCCCGCCGGCAGCTCACACGCAGCGGCGCCGCCATCCGCCCGGCCCGACACGTGGAGGGTCACTTCCGCGACCCCGCCCCGGTGATTGGCTGAGGCCGGACCGTGCAGCCAATAGCGAAACGGCAGCGCTCGGGGCTAGAGGCGAAGGGGCGGAGCCCGGAGCGAGCCCGCCCTCACCCCGCCCCAGCCCGGGGCTCCCGTCCTCTCGTCCCCGGTCCCCGCAGCACCGGACACGGCCGCTCCAGCCCCGGCTTTATTAGGAACCGACCCGCACCGTACAAATCACCCGGGCGCCAAGGAACGGTCCCGTAAAGCGGTCAGAGACACCAGAGAGCGCCACAGCGGGCACGGGTACAACCAGCACCCTCCACCGCGCTCCGTGCGAGCAGAGCTGCTGCCACGCGTCCTGTCAGGGCTCCTCAGCCTTGATCAACCGGCGCACTCAGTGCCCAGTCAGCACCCCAAGTTCCTCTGTCCAGCCTGCTTGCAGCGCCCGCGGGGTCAGGACAGGGAACGGGGCTGAGGACATGGCCAACACCCTGGAGAAGGATCACGTATCCAGCGGGAGTGAAAGAGGACATCAGGCAAACTGCGACCAGATACAGCTGGAGCCAGGGAGGTGGCAGATGGGCACAGCCTGAAGGGCAATGCCACACCTTCTCACACAACCATATTCCCCACCTCAGCCCCAGTTAGCTGGAAATGCTAACACAGAGACTTAATCACCCTGACCACAGATGCCATGGAGCAGAGAGGGGGAGCCTGTGGGCAATGCTGCCCTCGAGACTGAAGGCCAAGCACAGCTTCCCTGTACAGCTTCCCAGACAGACAGGAGCTGTTTCCTGCTCCAGTCTCACCAGACTTCCCACAGCTCACCTCCTGGACCAACAAAGGTGAGGACAGTGCCAGCAGTTGGTTTAAGTACAGTGAGAAAAGAGCTCAAAAAGAAGAGTGCATTCATTTGAGGTTAACAGAGAAAACAAATTTCAAGGGGAGTCAGTTTCAGTGAGAAGAGCCATCACAGCTCTTACCCCTCACCTTGGGGTTACAGCCCAGTCAGTTTTATGTTTTCTTCTTCAGTTCCTCAAATCTCCTGGAAAGATCATCAAAGTCAATGTCTTCAGAGGCAGAAGAGTTGGCGCCAGCAGATGCTGTTGGCAGCGTGTCTGGTACAGATGGCAGTTCAGGCAGCACAAAGTTATCAACAGTATTAGGAGCTCCAGCCTGTGGTTTAGGAGAAGCCTCTGACTTGGGCCCGGGCCCTATTTAGAGTAAGATAAATACCATTTTACCTCAGTACCACAGACACAAGAGGGCCACACAAAAGAAAGGCTGTTCTACCAAAAACGGCAGTACCAACGTGGTTTTCAGAACAGGACCAGTGGTCAGGCAGCTCAGATTACACAGATTCACTGGGGAAAACCACAACATCTCAGCTTTAGAAGGCTGGAAGGAGCAGCAGCAGAGGCAGATCCAGACCCGCAGCCCTGTGCTGAGGCTGCAGCAGAAGCCCCCCCGCAGCCTACAGCCCGCTGCGGCCAGGCTGGAGTTGCCCTTGCCTGCAATGGCAGGACTGTACCACCAGGATCCAAAGCCCCGGGCTCCTCACTCCAGCACCTCCTGGAGACACGCCGGTATCACACTGTCACACAGCTGAGACTGAAGCATACAGCCAGACCCAGTGCACCCAGACGCCTATCTTCTTCAGCACACATGAACACTCCCCACAGAAAACCTTGCTGGAGCTGGCAAGGGTCTACTTACTCTAAAAAGCCTCTCAGCCTTTATCAAGTGCTAGAGATAACAAGTACTTTCAAAACACACAGAGCAAAATCACAATGCACAACACAGGAGAATTTTGTTATGATCTAATTACGCTGCAAGAAGCACCTTGTAAGACTTTAGCTGTTTTCCCTTGGTCCACCTATCACTACTAGCCCTGCTCTGCTGTATGCAACTTCAACACTGACATTAATACAAAACCTGTCTACCCTCTTGGTACATACTTCTTTCATTCTCTTGCTGCAGAGCAGTATTATTTACAGTGTGTAAAAATATATTACCACTTAGAGCTGTTGTTTCCTCATTTTATCATGCAACACCCCATTTTTGCTCTGACAGGACAGCTTAAGCTGGAGACCTAGTACTGACTCCTATGTCAGACTCTAGTTCTTGAGTTTCTTGGTGGAAGTCTGGATCTGCCCTGTTTAGAGAGGATACTCTGCACTTCTGTCAGAATCCGCTCCAGACTCAAACCATGCTCTCAAAATGCATCAGGTTGTACAAATTTCTCCCTGTGTGGAAAGCTTCCTTCCAGGGACACCAGGATCCTGAGCTAAGTACAGCCCCTGACCATCCCAGGTTTCCCAGACTTCTGGATGTACTCACCAGGCACCGGCGCAGGAGTGTCCTTGTCAGCGCTAGGCTCGGCAATCTGAAAAAGACTCTGTTACTACAGCAATTTGCTACACGTCAGAGGATCTCACTAATGTGTAGGCACTGCTCATGGGCAGCAGCAGCCACACTAGTGGGCTGGAGGCCATGGCTCCCAGCACACTCACAGGAACCTGCCTTTCTACCCTAGAAAAAGAGGCAGTGCTTCGACTTTCCCTCCCTGTCAATTAAAGCATTTCCACTGGCCATATTCCAGAACTGGATTAACAGAGCATGTCCACTAGCAGGTCTGAAATATTTATTACAGACACAGTGTGAGAAGACTGCCCTTTTCATCCATGGCTGTAATCACAGCCACCACTTCCTTTCTTTCATAAAGGACAGACATGTCCTTGTAACCAGTAGCAAGGTATGAAATGACCCCATCTCAGGTCTTCGTCCAGCTGGGACAAAGGCCCATTGTCAGCTGTGCTGGCATAACTCCTCATTCCCTGCAGGCTGCAGCCAGTGACATCTGTCCCCACCCAGCTAACAACTCCTGTGTCTGTGCCTGCACCTCTTGCACCCAAAGGCTGCTGTACAGCTGGTACAAGGTGTCAGCACTCAGGGGTGCTTGGCGATGCTCATCCCTATACCCAGGATACTAGAAAAAGAAGCAGCATATCACTGAAAGGAAGATGGGAGGCGTGGTCATGAACTGCAGCAACAAAAACATAGACAAGCAGAGAAAGAAAAGAGTACATCCTCTCTTTTGTTGTCCCCAAGGACTGAGAAAAGTCTGGGAGAGGAAGTGTTTAAACATATATCATCTAAGTCAGCCAAAATTGTTATCCAGGCTAACTATGTGTTAGTTCAAAAGCCGTAATTAAGCAGACCAAAGGCAATATGCCCTCACATTAAAAAAATCAGAATTTGTGGACTCTACTTGTTAACTGTTTATCACCATTTTAACAAAGCAGTAACATAAATCTTGGCTCTCTTTTGCAGGCAAACCACACAGCTGAATGAGGTCACAAGTCATCCTCCCATCACATGCACTCAGTGATTCACCACACTGTAAGCAACACCAAGCACCACCCCCAGAGCTACACAGGTCAACAGCAATGTGCTTCATCAATATTTGCCTTTTCTGTGGCTACCACAGCCCCCTTCTTGCAGTTCCCTGTGCTGCCTACAATGGTGATCCAGCTCAGGCACTTACAGACTCATATGTTGGTGGGTTTGCTGGAACTGGTGGTGGATGAATGTTGGTGAAAGGCTGGTAGGTCCCCACTGGTACACCACCGAAGTTCTCCTGTACAGAGAGATTAAAGTCATGCACCAAACTACACACCTGGGAGAGTAACCATGACACCTATAGCTGTTGTGCGAGTCAAAGAAAGTAATCTGAGGTAAATGCAGGAAAGTACCCAACCCAGTATAGTTTATACTTATAAGGAAAAGATTTACAAGTATTAAGCCAGATGTAGTCACCTAGAACAACCAAATCCAGGTAACAGCACTGTGGGCTACTCTAAAGAGCCATCATGACTTCACCTTTCAAGGTATTAGGAAGTACCAGGACAAAGAGGGCAATACCCTGCATTAAACACACAAGAGCTATTTTCCAGCGTGCAGCATCACAAAGGACAAAGGAGGTCTCCGGCTCACTCAGGGCTTTGTATTACCCTTACTTCTAACACAACAGTGCCTCAAAAGACCTATATTTGTCACAAGTCCTCACTGTATTTATGCCTGGGACAACAGCCAGCTGATAATGCTTGGCCCAGATTCTGTACAAAAAACACTGCAGCACTGCTGGAACCATATAAAGACTCCAACCCATCCCACTGTTCCCGCCGCTTTGCAGTCTATACAGATATCCTGTGAATGGCTAAATTTGGAGAACACTGCTCTTTCCAGCTCCCACCTTCCAGGCTCACAATAAGACATCTCCAAGAGCCACTGGCTGGTCTCCTTCCCTTGCAGGTCTGAAGGCAGAGCACTTCTGCATTCTTATGTGCTGTTCCCACCCTACAAAACTCACCTCATTTCCTTAACTGAATCTTGGCACACTACCAGCCTACCAACGTCAAAATGCAGCTCCAACTCATGGTCAAAAGTCTGGCAGTCAGAAGACTGACTCAAGAGTTAAGTCTGGACTCCCCTGTTCCCTGAAGGCAAAGAGGGCTGGCTGGAGAACAGGGCTAGGAACCTCCACAGCCAAGAAGCAACATGAAGCTTCAGCCGCACTGACAACAGTTTCCATCCGAACATGATAGCCTCCTGACACATCAAGGTATCAGGTACAGACACTCTCAAAGCAGCAGGCATAAGCTAAGCACCACAACTGGAGTCTTCCACAGAAAAAGGAAACAACAAAGCAAAGGCACTTACCGGACCCTTTGGAGATGGATAGGAGAAGGGCGGAGTTGGTGTTGGCATGGGCATAGGCATCATCACTGGCATGGGTACTAATCCATCATGACCAATCATTGGGGCTGTAAACCCACCACCTCCTCCCCCTCCTTGGCCACCCTTCTTCACATCATCTGTAAATCCCACATCAATCAGATCTGCCTCCCCGCCTGCAGGGGCTTCAGCCTGGAGAGGGTGGAAGAATTCTGCTCATCAACATATCCCTATTCTGATCCCATCCCTCTGAAGAGCATTAGATGCAGCTTGGAGAAGATGGGACAACACAATGAAGACAGAACAGACAGCAGCTACACAGTGATATTAATGGGAATCACAAAGGTAACCGGACTATAGCATGGCTAACTATAGCCACATGCTGCAGGGCTGTGGGAAGGAGCAGGGATCACGTACTCAAAGGCCGTCTACAAAATACCAAAGCACGATTATCACTGAGCTTGCTGCAATGCCACAGCCCTGTGCTCTGAAAGCCCACACATTTCAGCCACTGGAACACCAAAAGGAGCTCCAGATTTGCAGATGCCTCACTCACCATCACCACAGAGTCAGGTTCATAGGGCACATTGTAATTCTTAGCAATCTCGATGAGGTATCTCTCCACCAGAATCTTGGGTGGTGCCTCCACACTCAGCTTGTGCATCAGCTAGAATACAAGGTAGAGAGACACTCATGGGACTGGGCAGTGCAGCAAAGGTCCATCCTGGCTGCTACAGGGAGGGATGCCCTTCCTCCCAGAACAGCACTGCTGCAAGGGGGGCTGCTGGCAGCCACAGGCCAGGGCTCCATGTGTGCTGCTCCTTTTCATCTGCAGCCAACACAGCAAGGCCCCACCACCAGGGACCTCAGCACTGTGCCCCAGTGCAGGCAGGACCCTACCCTGCATGAACCACAGGCATCAGCCACTGGTGACCCAGAAAGGGAGCACAAAGCCACAGCAGTCATGTCTATTCTGCCAGCTCCAGCTGGCTGCTGCTGTTCCACCAGTTCATTACCCTGTCATTGACTGTCCCAATCTGGTTTGTCCGGCACAGCTTCCCATACTCCTTGCTGTACTTGGCACAGAGCTGGTCAGCAACCTGCAATAGGAGAAACCACACACTACATGTCTGCTGTATTGCTCTCATTTCTGCTACTGAGTGCCCCAGCTGAGCAGTCTTAGCCATCCCTGATGCTTCAGGGACACCTATACTGGGGTCTCAATCTGCAGAGCCCATAAAAACATGTCCTCTGCCTTAATAACAGAGGCGCAAAGACATCCATCAGCTTCTTGCAGCGTCACCCCCACCCTGCACACGTAAGACCCCTCAAATAACCCTACTCACAATCTTCAACTCAGCCACTTCTGACTGGAGTCGTGGTGCAGCCCAAATCAGTGTAGATACTGCTTCTGCCAGGCCAGAGTCCAGCTCCCTATGGATAACAGAAGACAATCCTATCTCCACACCAAGCACTTAAGTCTTTGCTGCCCTCAATCTGCTTAGTCTGAAGGTCCCATCAACCTTGCTGGGCTTGAGTTTTCCCTGCCTGAGAAAAAAAGCTCTCTGAAATCTCTAGAAAACCCAAACATAGGTCCCCTTCTGTACCCCAGGCCTGCCCCTAACAGCATTCCTCCTTGAGCCCAGGGGCCTGGACCCTCTCCCACAGCACACCCTCTGGGCCAGAGCTTACTTCATGGACTGAATCAAGCCGAAGCGGGCTAGCAGCAGGTCGCAGTACAGCTCCAGGATCTCCATGGCCTCCACAAGGTAATCTTCACGGATGATGTGCTCCACACGAATCCTGGCACGCTCATCTTTTCCGGCTGCCAGATAATCTGCAATCTCCTTCCTTGCCTTCTGGGCCAGCTCAGCTACAGCACATATCCCCAAGACCCGTCACTGTGTTGGCAGAGCTGCTGCCTCCATACCCATCCACAGTCCCCACCACACAGTCACCACAAGCTTCTCTCTCTCCTTCATTGAGCTTCTGCAATGCAAGACACTCCACCATAGCTTGGTTGAGCCCTTGTGTCTAAGTCCTAGCACACTAACTCACAGAAGAACAGAGAGTGGGCTTTTAGGTGCCAAAAGTAACTCCTATACCTTCAATTTCCCTGCAGAGTCAGTCAGAACCATAGATCTTATCCATGCCCAAGCAGGGCAGGCAGGGAGAGCCTCCACACCATGCTGTGAGTACAGAAAGCCCAGGAAAGCCCCTCCTGGGGCAAACTGCCATGTCCCTCCACACACAGCCCAATGCTACCACCCCATGTGCCCCACAGACTGCACACCAAGGAAGGTGGCCAGTCTGCTCCTCTGGGTACAGCAGGGCAGACTGCAAGGCCTGGGTCCAGCAAGGGAAAGCAAAAGACTGCTCCATAACTGGCCCATGAAAGTACCCCAACTCCAGAATAGTCTCAAGGCTCCTGAGCTCCAAGACCATCCTGGGTCGCACTTGTCCCCTCAAATACTCACTCTTCTTTTTCTCCAGCAGTTTGAGGCGATTGATGACAAGGCGCAGGTTAACTCGCAAGCGCTCAGCCTTGAACCCAGCGCCCAACATGATAGATGCTTGCTGTGGGAGAAGAGGGAAAGTCAGTGGAACCAAGACCTGCCAGTCAGGAGGAGCAGTCACAGCTTTACTCAAGGACAAAAAAAAGACCCAACAAAACAAACCCAAAAAACCCTATCAGTGAATTCTCCAAACAAACAGGCCCAGGCCTGCTATTCCAGAATATGAATGGAGCTACAGCACTCATCATTCCCTTTTCCATTTTACAACCCTGCACCTATCCACAACACCAGGGAATAGAAACTTCCTGGATAGTCCCACTCTGATAGACTGAATTTTGCCCCCCAGAAACAGATTTATGATGATCAAAACCTGGGATTACCCCATAAATATGAACAGGGTTAGAAAACACATCCTAAAACAAGAAGATAAGGGCCTGAGTCTCTTTAACCTAGGTAAGTGACACCAGCCATTGATGTCAATAGCAGTGCACAGTAAAGCTTTAGGAACATTAGAGAAACATCTACCAGCAGTGGTCTAGAAAAGTGTGGCTGTGCTCATTTCAGTACACTGAGCTTACTGAGATGTGTTTTGAGGTTCAGCTCCAGAAATCTAAGAAGCCTGAGTAGGGAAAACCCATAGATTTCACAATAAATAGCACAGCTGCTAGAAGACATGCTTTCGTTCCCTGCTTTGAAAGGTGAAGGAAGTAAACCAATGCCTCAAGATGCCATCTGTGACAACTAACACAGCCAAATCCTGTTACTTCATAGACAAAACCACATTTTTAACAGAAATGAAATCAATTGCAAGAACCAAGCCTATTAATACGTAAGCTGTAAATTAGCTGTATAATTAACCCAAGGACTGTACAAACTAAGGTTGTTACTATCCTGTCATCAGGAGGAAGAAGCTGCTATTTCATATACCCCATGCTTCCTACTTCCTACTTCCTGAATGCATGCTCTGGCATGTGTCCAGTCTCTCATGAGTTCAACTCTTCAGCCCTACAGAAAATTAACTTAGAAGACATTTTGTTACAGCATTTTGTTATGCCAAGAACCAGTCATCAAAAATGCTTAAGAACTATCACACTGAAAGACTTTAACTTGTACCTGAAGAACACACTTGGTGAGGCTTTTGGATAGTGATATCATTTTGTGTGTAACAAGTGCTTTGCACTGTAACAAATCTTATCTACAGTACATCCAGTTTATTTAGCTGATCTATTCAGTTATTTGAGCTATGCACAGAACCCAGCAAGCTCAAAAAACGCTGCTGCAGAAATTATGTATGCATGATCCAAGTCTGATGCCATAAAAAAGGTTCTGCCCTTCTGTAACTCGAACATACTCCTACAACATTAAAAGAACTTTATAGTACGGCATGAAACAGTCTCAGCACGAGTTGCAATGTCTCTGTAAAAGTACCTAGTAAACATCTATTCCAATTAACAGCCTGTTTAACAGATTAACTCAAATGTAGCCACTAAGCAGCTAGCTCATTGCTTCTTTTCCAACCATCCTGCCCCTTTAAAGAGCTCTGTTGCCCCCACTGCCCCGCATGAGGCTCCAGCCACGCTGCTGCAGAAGGGCTGACCCAATCCTTTCCTCCCTGCCTCACCTCCCCGTCCCTTCCTACAGACGCGCAGCTACTGTGACCAGACTTAAACCAACCTCTCCCCGCAGCGCAACGAGGCTCTCGCCAGGGCGGCTTCCAGCGCGGCGCCAGCGGGCCCGACCCGCCGCGCAGGTCCAAGGGGCCAGCGCTATCTCCCGGCAGCGGAAGGCCCAGGCCTGGCTTTATCGGCGCGGCCGCACCGTGACGGAGTGAGGGCAGAGACCCCGACCCCGACCCCTCCCCGATCCGTCCCCAGCGAGGCGGCGCCGAGAGGTCTCACAGCGGAGGCGAGGCAGGCTCCGGACCTACCTTCGGCCCCGCCAGCGGGCACTCGGGAAACGCGCCCCCCCCCCCGCTACCGGCACCGCCCTGGCCCCCGATCGCATCCCGGCGGCGGCAGTCCCGGCTCCACTCACCGCCCGTCCTCCACGCAGCTTCCAGTACCCAAAATGGCGGCCGCCGCACAACCTCGCCGCCCGCGGAGGGATCCGCGGGGCCGTGCCTCCTCACACCGCAACCGGCACACGACCGATCCGGTGTAACAGCTGCACCGCAACACCGTCCGCGATGCCGCCGCTCCAGAGCTAGCGTCCTGGGGAAGGAGAGACAGCGGCGCGGAGCCGGAGAGGAGACATTAAATGGTCCAGCGGAGCGATCCACCTCTAGCGAGTGCGTGAGTACGACAGCCAATAGGTGCCCGCCGGTACCCGCCCCCGGCGTAGAGGTTCCGTCGTCAGCTCCCATGGCCGCGGGTCCCGCCTCCACGGAGAGGGAGCCGTTCGGTGGAAGGCTCCGTGCCGGTCGCAGGCGGGCGGAGGGGTCCCCGGTTCCCTGAGGGCCAGGCGACGGTTGTGGCTCCGTGAGGGAGGGTCGGGCCGAGGCTGAGCCGGGTCCTGGTGCCTGCAGTCCTGCCGCCTCGGGTCTCTGTGCGGCGCAGTCCCGAGGGTAAGCCGGCCCGGGGCGGGCTGCTGCGGAGGGAGAGCTCTCGTGGAGAGAGGCGCCACGCCGCGGGGCGGTTCGGTTCCAGGCAGGTGGTTGGGCTCACACCGCGGCGGCTTTTGGATGACTCGTAACCCGTAGCTCTTGCTTTTGCAGGGCACGAGACTCTGCAGCTCGGGCGGAGCGGGGCAGCCGCTTCCCGCCCCGGGCGAGAAGAGAGGCAGCGGCCAACTACGGGGCCGGGGCTTGCGAGACCCGTAACCGGCGCGAATGACCCCTCGCGGGCGGCCGGGGGCTGCGGGCTGGGACGGATCCATGAACAACAGGTGAGATGCTTCGGGGAATGGAGCGCGGCCCCTACCCGCCGGCACGGAGCTGCCCGCACCGGGCCGAGCTCTCCGTGCCCGCGCCGTGCCCGCGCCGCGCGCTCTGGCGGCGCCGCCATCTTGCCCGTCTGTCTGTCCGGCGGCCCTTTGTCTGTCTGCGGCTCCCGGCGCCTGCAGCGGGACCGGGTAAGGCGGGCCGGGCGGGGGCCGGGGCGGCTCCGCCGTGACCCCCAGGGTCGGTCCCTCTGCCTGCGGAGCCGGGCCGAGCCTTCCGTCCGTCCTGGCGGGCGGAGCGGTCCCCGGGTCGTATGTCGGGACCCTGGGCGCAGGGTTCGTCCGGCCGTGCCCCTGCCAGGGCAGCGGCATCCGTGTGTCCGCCTGCGGGCTGGATCCTTCCTGCCGCCTCCTGGGTGCTGTTTTGACAGCTGGTTCCTTCTGTCGGGGAGACTGGTGGGATCCCTGTGTCCGTCTGTCTGAGGAGGCTTACAGAATCCCTGTGTCTTAGGAGGCTGTCGGGAGTCCTGTGTCTGTCTGGGGGCAAATGGTTTCAGCTTCTCCTTCTGTCAGTCTGTCTGAGGGCACTGTTGGGATTTATCCCCTCCTCTGCCCGTTGAGGACGGGGGGGGCATGTTTCCCCCTTTGTATGGTTTGAGGGGGTCGGTGTGTCCCTGCCTGTGAGGGACAGGGGCAGCGCATCCCCGATGTGAACTGCGGTGTCGGTGGTCCCTCCCCAGGTGAGGACACGGGGTGTGTGCCCAAGTGCCTGCCCCAGGCCTGCCTGCCCAGGAAGGGCGCAGACCCCTGTTCCTGCCCCCTGCGCCTGCCCGCAGGACGGTGAGGTCAGTCCGTCCAAGAGGCGGCTGTCTGAGATGGGTCCTGTCCCCGGGTTGGCTGCTGCCACCGTGTCTGGAGCTGTGACCACAGGGCTGCCGGCTCCCTTGTCTGCCTTCTGCGAGCAGTGAGGCCTTGTGTGCTCTCTGTCTCTATCTGGATGTGAAGCCAGAAGTGGGGCAGGGTCTGCAGGTTTGGTAGGGCTGTGGGAATGGACAGGAGGGAGAAGGGTGTTTGGGATGAGATTGCAGTCAGTCTTGAAGTAGGGCAGTCTTAGCTTTTTGTATGCTGGGGACAGGTTTGCTTATAACTTTGCTTGAGAACTGAGTGGGACTGTCCATACACGGTGGTTTGTGAAATGCCTGTAAATCACATTGAATGCTGGCACTGAAAATGGCTGTGGTGATGTAGAACAAGCCCTGTAGGCAGAAGGGTGGGGAATGACCCGAGGAGCCAGCTGCGTTTGCCCAGAGGTTCAGAAGGTTCCAGTGGTGTGCGTGACAGGCTCTTCTCTTCTCAGGTGAGCCCTCTGCTGAGGGAAGGAACAGTCTGTGCTCCCCGGTCAGGGAAACATGTCCCGTCGGAAACAGACCACTCCTAACAAAGTTCACTGTGAGTATTATGTGAAACAGCGTCGTGGGATCCTTGCCCTAGCTGGATTGCTGTGGAGTGAGATGGGGAGGAGGGAAATGATGACAAGGTACAGTTTGTAGGGGAATGATGGTTGCTCACTTTTCGTCTCGGGGATTATAAGAAACTGAGCTTTATGCATCAGGAGAGCTGGCTGTGTCCTGGCATGGCAGGGATAGACTTGAACAAATAGGTAATGCTGTAAAGGTAGGTTGCGTATGTGCAGGGCCTGCAGCTGTGCTTTGCTTTCACACTGTCACAAGTGCAAATTAGTATACTAAGAAATGTGACTTGAGGGCCCTGGCCCATCTTGGGTAGCAAAGGAAGTTCTAGGCCAAAGTGTGTAGCAGAAAGCCAGGAATTCTTGGGTTCTGATCTTTGCCCTACCACAGACTCAACTGACTGACCTTGGACACATTCCTTGAGCTCACTCTACCTCAGCTTCCTACCAGATAATGTAAGTAAATGTAAGTAAAGCCATTCCTTGCAGGGAATGGGCAGTGGCCAAGTAATTTACTGGACATATAAATGCTGTCAGCTTATTTTTGAGCTGAGCTGATAGGACAGATCTCTGTTTCTCCAGCACTGCCAAGCCCCTGGCAGTTGAAGAGCTGAGGATGCTGTACATCAGCACTTCTTGTGGGCAGGCTACAGAGAGCTGTTAGCGGAGCTGGAGATGCGTATGGATGTTTGGCTCAAAGGGGAAACTGCACATATATGGCTTTTGTTTGACTGATTGCAGCTGAGGAATGCTGGGGGACTAAAGCTATGCCCTTGTTCATATCCAGCTGTGTTGCTAGAAACATGGTTAGAATTTGGGCTAGAATGAGGAAAACAAATTCCTGCTTCTGTAGATCTGTGAAAGCAAGCAAGGCTGATGAGAGGGACCTCGGTATTGCTAAGCTTAGTAGCTACCAGGGGTATGGGACGGAGAGTTGAATGCTGCAGCCCTAACACTGCCTCACTTTGCTGATGCTGCTGGCTTGCATGTTTCTGCCTGTTTCTTTGTGTTGCCTTTCCATATGGGTATGGCAACAGGAATCTATGCTTGCTGTCCTCTGTACTAGGGGAAAATACACTGGGATATAGCCTAACACTTTGTACACTCAGTGAGTGTACTGGGGAAATTTATCTCTGCTGGGACTTGAAAGCCCCATTGGCTGCTAGAGCCAGGCATGGGGTAGCTGACAAAGCTTTCCTTGGTGGCCATCTAAGAATCTGAGGCATAGCTTTTGGCATCTGCACTGACTTGTGCTTTCCTGTTCCTGCTTCTGGTGCTGGGTTCCACATGGGCAGAGTGTAGCTTTGATTTGCCTGATAGCATTTTAATGACTTTGAAATTGTCTCCCTTAGAGAAATAAGATTTGTCCTGTGCTTTGTCCTGTGATGCCAGTATCATATCTTTTGCCCACACACTTTTGCTTCTGAAAGTGCCCAGAGATTACTCCTGGCGTTTAGATCAGACTTAAGTAAGGCATGCATTTACACTGTCTCCCCTGGTGTAGAGTTGTGGTCTCTCGTGTGTGGAAACCAAGGGTATTAAGCTCTACTGGTGCAGGTAGAGTTTCCATGAATGTTTAGGTGAGCAGTTTTCTGCACCTCACATGAGAAAACTCATACAGTTTCCCACGTAAGGGTGATGTTTTTCAGAAGCTTGAACTATTATATACAAAGCTATACATATGATGGAGTTCAGTTGTATGCTATTTTCATGGTGAGCAGCAGCTTTTTTTATCTGCAATACAAGCGGTTGTACCTCCAGTGTTGGTCTTGGGGGAAGCTATCTGACAAATACACTACCAGTGGGCATGATGTTGAGGTTGGCATCTGGTATGCCATAGAGGGGAGTTCTGCGACCTGTTCACCTCCTTTACATGCAGTACACTGCTACAGAGCAACTATTCAACAGGAGCCATCAGAAGCAGTAAGTAGGACCACAAGAAAATAAAGGGACCGAAGGATACAAGAAACATGTCAATGGTGATGTCTCCAACTTGGGTTGGGAAATCTTGCCTGTCTTATGATGAACGCCATTGGGACTTTTCTGTCTACCTAGCCTGCTGTGTATCTGGAGGGCCCAGAAATGCCATGCAGTGCACTCACGAGGAAAATCGCAAAGAGCATCAGCTCCACGAACTGGGTGAGCCAGCAGAATGAGGAGTCAGGCTGAGACATAGCAGACACGTTACTGAGACTTCTTCACAGGGACTGAAGTGGTTGGGAGGAAAGGAGTAAAAGGGACAGCAGGTATGCAGCTTTTTGTGCAGTTGTCTGCACCTGGGGTCTGATTTGGCAGGCTATGGGGCTGGGGAAGTGCTTTTGGATTTGCATAAGTACCACTGTGAGTATCTAACTGGACAAATCTGTGGGAGGACAGTGCCTACTTCTTTCTTGCATGGCTACTCCATGTTAGCTTCTTTCTTGGATTCACAAGGGCAAGCGGCAGCTGCAGATCTCCTCTCTTGGCTTGCTTGGTGCCACCTCTTTCCAGGGTTACTTTCAGGTTTGGCATGGCCCCCGTTTAACCTTGTTCTCACAACAGCATGGTTTGCTGTCCTCGCTTAACACATAATCATTCTGTTTAGCATGCAGATTGACCAGCTGGGTAGTTGTGTGGTTACAAAACAGTTTTAAATGGAAGTGAAAAATGTGTGAGGAAATTCAAAATAATACAGAAACAATGATAAAAATTATCACAAAAGTCTCCTGGTGCATGATGGCCAGTCCTTCTACAGTATTAATTGTAGTCATTACCCCTTTGGCACGGCTGCAGCACACAACTGGTTCTTAATAATTTAATTTTGTTTTGCCACATGGTGCATGAAAAGCACACCTGGCAAATAGTAATACTGTAATAGATGGCAGTGCATTACCCATTCCATATTGAACTGAAAACTACAATTAACTGAATTGTTCCTGTGAAGATACCTTAATTGATTCGTTTTGATCTTTATTTTCTCCCAGAGTCTGAAGTATAAAGTACAGAATCTCTCTAAGCCATTCATCTAATCTTGTGCTCAAGCTCACCCAGTGCTGTGCTTTCATCCCATCAATTATGCTGCTCTTCTGCTTGCCAGAAAGTTGCTGCAGGTGTTAGCGTGCACTTTTATTTCTGTCCCTGCTGTCCCATGGGCTGTTCTTTCTATTGCTTGTACCCCTTGCAATTGATGCGTATTTTAGAACTCTTGAGAACAGGTTTTGTTAGAGCTAGGAAGTGGGAATTAATTTGACTGTTTATCCTGGTACAAATATCCTATTAATCTTCTATTTCCTTTCCTCTCCCTCTGACACGCACACATTCTGGGCTCTTCAGTGTTCTTTGAATTCTGCTGTCTATAATATTCCCAGTTTGAAGAGAAAGTGTCTTGCAAGAAATAGCACCCACCATTCAAACCCGAGCAGAAATGTTACTTGCATCAAAATCCTTTGTTCTTAAAGGGCTCTGTGGGCTGCTGTTGTTAACTCTTTCAATTGTGTTGTTTTTCATTTCAGTAACCACTACAGCAGTGTGGACAACCCAAAATAGCGATGGGGCAGGTGGACTAGATCCACAGTGGTGGAAACACATGCAGATTTCAGGTCCAGGAAAGGAACACAGAAGACCTACATGAACAGGGACTTTAAATTGATGTATGAGGAGGGAATAAAGAGGCTCATCTGAGAGACCTTTCTGTTTAGGAAGGAAGACAGGGGAATGATGCCATTTCTTTTGATTTTGTTTTATGGATTTTGGGTTGGGGGTTGTTTGTTTGTGTGTTTGTTTTCCAGAACACCTGAGAGTTATCCTGCATTCATACAGTTCAAGAAGGGAAGGGCTCAGGAAAAATATCATTTCTGGCTACAAAGTTGATACAGCACCAGATCCTAGCAGTAATGCCCCTGTTGCACAGTTCCACAGGGTTGCCCCTTACCTGCACAGCTGCTCACATGGCATCCCACTCCATTTACAAGAGTATGGAGAGAACTGGAATGCAAAGCAGAGGCATTTTTATGATCTTTTATTGTCCTACATTTCTAGCTGCTTGTAAACAAATACACTGACTTGTTTTGGTGTTGTAGTCGGACTGTTTCAGTGTTGTGGTCAGCCTGCAGCCATTTTTGTATTTAATAAAGAAACTTCTGCAGAAGAGTGTGAGTTCACTATTGAACATAATATCCTTTACTGATAGTAGTGATTGTAAAGCTATCGCCTGTCTTACTCCCTTTCCAAATGAATAGAAGTGGATTCAAAGTGGGGTGGAGGTGGGGGTGTAAGTGTCTGCATGTGGGAGCATGTGTGTGCAGAAACAAGTGTAACTCCATACTACCAAATAGTAGTCCATCAGTAGATGAACAGGACAGTATTCCCTAAGTTCTTTTGGAGACAATATTAATTTAATACATAAGAAATTCTGTATAAGCTAAAGATAGCATTTTTAAAAGTTTGTCTTTCCCAGTCCCATGCTGCCTTTTTTTAGATACAGGCTACTGGAGAATGCACAAGATGTCATCTGCTAACACCACTGGTTTAGTTAACAATTTGCATTTCTGGCTGTGAGCTGACAGTTTTCTGCAGTGCGCTGAATCAATGCTAACTTGGTTCTGGGTATGTTGTACAGAAAGGCCACTGGCAGACACACTCTTAGTTGTTGTGGTTGATGCTAGTGTTACTGACAGGAGGAGTTTCCTTCTCAGCTACATCATGTAAAGATCACACCTTTTCAAATCCTGCAGGCTGTCTGCATAATCTGTGTATCTGAGCAGAAACCTGCTGCCGTAGTACTCCAGGCTGCTGCTCAGTGGAAACGTAAGCCATCTGCGAGGGGAAAGGGGAAGAAAACAAGAACCTACCTACTTGCACTGGGACATACAGTGGTGTTTGGGAATCCTGTTGTGTAACTCTGCCACAGGTAGCATGTCTCCCGCCACTGTTTTACATCTGTCCTGTGCTGGACAGGTTTCCTCATTCACCGTACTTTCCTTTGTCTTGCAATGCTTTTTTAGACTCTGCTCTTTAGCTTTTGTCCTGGTGGTTGGTGCATATCTGCTTCCTGGAGAGGCACTGTAATTCTGTAATGTCTGCTGTTCATACAGTCTGTATCTCAGTCCCACCAGTGTGCGGTTGTGGTCCAAAACTAAAAGCAGCACTCCAGGCTATGAAAACCATTCAGTGTTGGAATGGCTTCTGGTGGGGGTACATGTGTCACAGCAATCACGACAGTACCTGCTACTTTTGGTGACAAATACACTTTGGGTACTCCTCAGCACCTCTCATCAGCCCACATGGATTGTGTTCTCGAGTCTTCTCCACAGAAACCTCTCTCACATTTCTGAAACAGAATGATAAATGCCTTCAAATGCCTTTGGGGGGACATTGGGAATTAAGACTCCTCTCCCACAGTCTCCATGAAACTTCTGAAGGTCTTTGAAATCTTCCTTAAATTACTGCTTTTTAAAGCACTGTCGGAAACTGGGAGGTAAGCACCAGAAAGGCAGTGTGAATATGAACACGGGGCAAAGCTGGCTGAAACAGGGTAGCATGTAGGAATGTATCTGTCCTTGTAACAGGGCTGGTGCTGTCTTCATGTCTCAAGAATGCAGTGCCCTGGTTATGCTGTTGTCAGTTGTGGCCCTATACTAAAAGGTACAATTTTCTTCTGAAAGCTATATTTTGGCTTTGCTTTTATGTGAAGAATGCACTGCATCTTTGTTAGCATTTTTGCATTTATGCTTTGAGTGATTCTTGAGAACTTAGACATCAGTTGATAGATTTAACCCAAAGCTGGCCCGCTGGGAATTTCAGCATCTTGCCCCAAGCGCTCCCAGCTGATCCACTGAGGGGTAAATCAGGACCAGATTTGGAACAAAGACATTTGATTAAATATGAAAATTAATTGTTGCCCTTTACTGTTATTCTTCGGAACCAGAAGTTCTACTTAGAAGAGAACACTGTAGGAGGTTTTCTTTCAGAGGCACAAATAATAGCTTCTTTCAATTTGTTTGCCATCTCTTATTGAGTTGAAGTAGTAGTGATCAGTGTCTTTCAACAAACAGACTGTAAGCTCTCCTAACCCAGCATCTCCGCTCCCTATTTTCAGTTCCCTTAGTTTTCTGTTTTGAGCATTGAAGTGCCACTGAGGTTTGTTTTAGCCAGAGCCATTCCTGGGCAAGATACGGTGGTGAAGCAAGTTACCTGTCACTTAAAAGCAGGACAATACCAGCTCTGGGCGCAAACACCTTCCTGAAGGGCAGCGTGTCCTCAGTCTAAGACAGAGGGTGGTGACAGAACATGACAAGGACAAACCTTGATTTTGATAGCACTGTGGAGGGCAGGTGAAGTGTCAGGAGCACAGGAAGGTACTGGTTTTGTGCAAGTTGCATGTTCTAGCAGGGAATAGGACTTCATGATTTTCAAAGCCATATAGCACTGTGCCTGATCTGGTATGCTGTTGTAATCCTCCAGCGGCTTCCCTTCCACCCAGAGCTGTGCTGTAGCTCTACTGGGAGATAGCTTGGTAGCAGAGAAAGCCACCTGGCTATGTACAGCAAATAGATGGGATCTCACAGGGGTTTTGTGGCTGGAGTGGTGTATAAAGAGTATGCAGAGTGCAGCGCAATGCTGGACGTTTCTACTAGCAAGATTGTTCTACACACAGGGGCTGGACTCACCTCAGCGGGTACGAGAGGCTGGTGTTGCAGGGTAGGCAAGCAGAGAGTTACTTAAATGCTTTCTGAGAGGTGACTTCAGAGGTGCTGCACAGTGCAGGTGAGCAGCCCCATACTTGTTCTGGTTTTGGCAAGCCTTGGTGGTGAAAGCAAGGCAGTGGCATCAGTCTGACTCTCTGTCCTTGTGGCTGCCAGGGGAGCAAGTCTTTGCAGGGCTGGAGGAGCAAGCCCGACAAGCCATGATGAAAACCAACTTTCCTGGAGCTCTTGGTGACCAAAGGCCAGCCATTTGTCAACTGCAAGACCCCGACTCCAGCAGCAGTGAGTTCTGCCCCTTCCAATAATGGCAAGGTAGTGGACTGGGGACACCGTGACAAGGGGCTAGGTGCTGCACAGCTTGTGGGGGTCCTCTGAGGGCCATCTTACCCGTCTCCTCTGGGTTAGCCCTTGGCTCTTGTGCAGGATTGTCTGCATACAGCCAAAGCAGGGCTGCTCCCTACAGGGATGTAAGCCCAGAGCCAAGGACCACCGCTCCCCAGGGTGGGCAATGACCTCACCACCAGGATGCAGTCTCAGTTCAGCAGAGCAGGGTGGTAACAAGAGGAGGTTCAGAGGCAGCCCAAGTGATAGTCAAGCAAGGCAGGGTAACAGGACATGTCATCTGAGCACCTCAGTCCTTGTCCTTAAACTGAGTCCAGTGCACCAGCCTGAGTTTAAACAGAGCCCCTGGTCTGAGGGGTGGGTAGAGGCCCCAGGTAATCTTAGTCAGGACAGTTAAGGCTTATGAGTGCTCTCAGGGTCCTGACACTTGGAATTACTGTTCTGCATGTTCTAGGTAGCAGTGATGACGAGGAAACCACTCAGGATGAAGTTTCTTCACATACCTCTGAGGAGGATGGCTCAGTGGTGAAAGTAAAGAAAGAGTTAGAGAATGCTGAACAACCTGTGGCTGAAGCCCCACTGATGGGAGAAAATGAGGCAAGTGTGTACTGGTGCTGCACTCACCTGGGCCTCCCAGGGGTGAGACAGGTACCATCTAAACACCTTCTCTCCCCATCATTGTTTATCTTTTTCTCCCTCCCACCTCCTCCAAACAACACCTTCTGGCAGGAAGGGAAAGCGTATGAGGAGTTCTTGGGCTGCCAGGAGCAGGAGATAACCTGCACAAATATGGTTCTCCTGGCTGGCCAAGATGATTGTGCAGAGTGTGCCCCCTTCTTTAAGTCCTCGTGGCTTTCTCTGACTGACTTCCCCTCCCTTCTGCTACAGAGCAGGCCTTGCCTACCAGAGCCACTGTGCTGGAAGAGCCTGTGTGTGCGTGGAGGCCTTGAGGCCTTTGCCTGTTCTGCAGACACCAGAGTTTTGCTCAGAGGCTACATAAAGTAATTTTCAGAGTGCAACAGCATGAACCAGCCCCAGTGGGACTGGGCACACAGCCCTTGGTCTGGCCAAGTCCTGCCTGGCGGTACTGACCAGATACTAAGGGAAGGTGGTGTGTCTGCCTTACACCAGGGTGGCTTGTCTTCCCTGTAGGTGCCTGGGAGTTTGAATGCTGACCCTACGCTGGGACTGTCACAGTGCCCCCTCTGCCAGCTGGAGTGTGGAGGCAGAGAGCAGCTCATCACTCATGTATACCAGGTAAGGGATATCTCTGGCCTTAAGCCCCAAATTCAGCAACAACCCAAAGCACAGGGTGGCTTTGTTCTGGTCTTTGCAGTCTCAGAAATGATCTTATAGCTAGGATGTGACTGAGGTTTACAGCAGTAGACTGTCCAGAAGGTGTCCTGGGGAAAGAATCAGGAGGGCACCAGTCTGTAGAGCTGAAAACACAACTCAAGCCCAAGGCAGTCTCTGCAAGTACTTGCAGGCTCAGACCAGGCAGTCCTTCAGATTAAACATGGAGGCAATTTTTACATTATTCAGTGAGATAAGAAACCTTCCTTCTGATCAGTCAGTTCTTTATTTTGTATCTTTATCCCAGTTCCTACCCCTGAAAACAGCTGTTCTTCCTCTATTCCAGTATTGCAGGAAAACCATGCTGGAATCTCACAGGTTTTGTTGTCAGTGCTCTCTTCACAGCACATCAAAGTCTGTAAAAGAAGGAATGAAGCAGAACAGGCCACTTACCTGCACAAGGTGACTGCCTCCATCTAAGTGCTTCCTCACCAGTGTCATTCCTATTGTTAGTCCAGTCATGCTTTGTGCAGCAACGGCAGCTTCTCAGATGCATTTCTGAAAACAAGGGTCTTACAATCCAAGTGTTTTGGCCTTAATTGTTTCTCTTGTATCAGAGTGGAGCTGTAGAAAGGTCTCCTCCTTGCTGTTTGACCTGTGACACCCTAGGTGTCTTGAGCTTAGTCTAGGAGCTGTCTGACAGAGGTTTAGTGGTAAAGTGTTCCCACTCCAGGAGGCTGAGCTGACTGGTTTGCCGTATCTCCTGAGCCCATCTCAGACTGGGCAGTTGGTAACTAGCCACCTCGTTGTTGTTTCACAGCACAGTGCGGCAGTGGTGAGCGCCAAGAGCTACATGTGCCCTGTATGCGGCAGAGCCCTCAGCTCACCAGGATCCCTCGGGCGACATCTCCTGATCCACTCAGAGGACCAGCTGTCCAACTGTGCAGTGTGCGGGGCACAATTCACCAGCCACGCCACGTTCAACAGGTCAGGGTCACCCTGGATGGGGAGTGGGCTAGAGTACCCACAGTAGAGATTAGGTGCCTTAAATGAGACAGAAGTCATGGCTCTAGACCTACTGAACACCCCCAGTGAGTAAGATTCCCTTGATCCCTTTCTCCCTGTAGCTCTGCATCACCTGCTAAGACCTCCCTGGGCTGTGCTGCTGAAAGAGTGTTCCTTTGCTGTGTAAAGAGCTAGAACTGTGCAAAAAGCACTGGGGTCTCCAGTCACTGGAGAACAACCAACTGCTTCCTTTGCCACTTCTATCAGAGTAAGTCTGTACTGCCCAGGTGGGTTGATCATTTCCAGAGCAGGACTACAGGCAGAAACCAAAATATTCATTGTGTCCTGCCTGGTGGAAGATTAACCACTGACCAGTGGAACAGGACTGGTCAGTCCTACAGAATAGAAAAGAGAAATCTAGAAATGATGGTGAGGAGCAACTTGCTGCCTAATATCTACTCTTGCACTCTGACAATCCAGATATGCTGCTTTTGACTCCTAGATATGACATTGCTTCATTTTAGATGCTCACACATGTCTGTGGGCAGGAATGGTTTAGCAGAGGCCTCTGTTGCGGGCTGTAGGAAGGCGCCCGGGCAGTCTGAGGTGGGGATGCTCCTGTTAGCACCGAGTTTCTGACTCTTCTCTTTCTGCTTTCCAGTGCGAAGCTGCCGGAGATGCTCAGTGCCGACCGGCTGCTGGCTCCACAGAGCCAGGGCCCCTCCAGTGCTGAAGGGAAGGACGTTGCTTTTCACCCCACGGTGTACCCTGCAGCCATCCTGCTGGTGTGCAACAACTGCACAGCATACCGCAGGCTGCTGGAGGCGCAGGCGCCCGGCGTGCGCAAGTGGGCTCTGCGGCGGCAGAACGAGCCCCTGGAGGTGCGGCTGCAGCGGCTGGAGCGTGAGCGCACGGCCAAGAAGAGCCGGCGGGACAACGAGACGCCTGAAGAGCGGGAAGTAAGGCGCATGCGGGATCGGGAAGCCAAGCGCCTGCAGCGCATGCAGGAGACGGACGAGCAGCGGGCACGGCGGCTGCAGAGGGACCGGGAAGCCATGAGACTGAAACGCGCCAATGAGACCCCAGAGAAACGCCAGGCCCGGCTCATCCGGGAGCGTGAGGCCAAGAGGCTCAAGCGGCGCCTGGAGAAAATGGACATGATGCTCCGGGCACAGTTTGGCCAAGACCCCTCTGCCATGGCTGCTCTGGCAGCTGAAATGAACTTCTTTCAGCTACCAGTGAGCAGTGTGGAGCTGGAGAGCCAGCTGCTGGGCAAAATGACCTTTGAGGAGCAAAGCAACAGTGCGCTGCATTAAGCTACAGCCAAGGACCGTTCCACCTCTTGTATGGGCACACATGCATTGGTAGCTTCTCCTCTCATGAGGCTGCTGTGTGTCCCTGGCTAACACCCTGACAGACAGTTCTGGCTTTCTCCTGAGCACAGGAGGGGAAGAGCTGAGGGGTGCCTGCCAAAGTATCCCTGGTGGGAGCAGATTCCGAGGATACATTCTGCTCTGCGGACCAAGTCACTGCTTGTGAGCAGAGGGAAAATAAATTAATGCTCATGTTTATTTAGTTCCCTTCTTTACCTTTTGTGCTTTGTCCTGTTCTTGCATCCTTGCCCCATTAAATGGGTTTGGGCTGCTGCAGCTCTTGCAGTTTTGCTGTAGGTGAAAGCCTACAAAGTGCGAATTACGGAGCTGAGACTTTGGTAGTCCACAACTCCTCCAGAAGTAAATTCCTTGCAGTTTGTGCCCATAAAGACAAAGCAAAGGAGGATGTTGTCTCCCTGGAAATGGCTGTGCACACCCTTTTTCTTAACACTATTATTATGTGCCTTTTTGCAGTATCATTCATGGAAAAAACTAAATGGAAACTAAGTTCCTGTTCTAAGATACCCCATATAAATGCTAATAGAAAGGTTGTCTGAGGTAAGCAGACAAGTTTGGTTTACTCCCAAGTTCATTTTCACTTAAACAGCATTTCAGGTTTGCAAGGGAAAGAGTTGATTGAATGGTAAACAGTAAGGGTAAGTCAGTACTCTGGTACTGTATGGATTTATTTTTCCCTTTATTCAGCAGTGGTGTGGCCACACCTGAGTGTTGTGTCCAGTACGGGGCAAGAGTGCACAGTGTACACTGTGTACAGTGCAAGAGAGGCACAGATGTACCAGAGAGTCCAGCAAAGGGCCAGTAAGAGGGTGAACTGGAACGTCTCCTGTGAGGAAACGCTGAGAGCTGGGCCTGTTCAGCCGACAGAAGAGTGGGCTTGATTTTGTCAATGTGCATAAATACCTGAGGGGAACATGTGAAGAAAATGGAGCCAGGCTGCTTTCAGTGATGCCTAGTGACAGGGCAAGAGGTGATGGGCACAGACTGAAGCACAGGAAGTTCCCTCTGAACATCAGGAAACACTTCTCACTGCCCAGGGAAGTTGTGGAGTCTCCCAGCTTGGAGATGCTCTAGAGACACTGTTCTGGGCAGCTGGATGTAGGTGGCCCTGCTGGAGCAGGGGGTTGGACTGGATGAACCTCCAGAGGTCCATTCCCACCACAACCCTTCTGTGATTTCATAGTAAGCTGACCTTGTTCAACCAATTCAGTACAGTCACATGTATTGATACACAGCCCATGTAGGACCACGGATCACACTCAGGTTATTAATTCTCATAGTGACCAGTAGTGACTTTCAGTGGTCACTGCAGGTCACACTGTGGGGTGAGTGGGGACCACTGGCAAGAAGAAACACATGGGTCGAAAGTTGCTTTTGCTCCCACACTCAGCAGCAAAACTACTGTGAGGAATGTGGAAAAGCGGTGAGCTAGGGAGGAGCTGTGGAAAGCTCAGTAACCAAGTCTGGAAAAACCTGCTGGATGGCAGGGAATGTAAGCCATTTACGTCATTCATCACATACAACTGTCATCTGTGAGCTTGGGAAAACACCAGATCTGGAAAGGATCTATTCAGATCCTTTGTTCTCTGAGCTGATCTCTCACTTCTGTTCTGAGCTCTGTCTGGTTTCACGCTCAAACGGACAGAGGTTGCTTCTCACAGTGTTTGCTGGTGCTGTGTCTGTATTGCTTTGCTAGCACACATGCAGCTTCACTGCCACCTGCAGCTGGGACCCCCCCTGCAGTGTTACTGGCACCTGATCATTATTGCAAGGGGTTCAAGAAAAAACATAAACCCAGAAGTATCTGAGCACGGAATTATGGCTGTAATCCATCTGTCATGCAGCCTGTACCCTGCCCTCATCACAATCTGCAGATCACTGTGTAAGACCAGAGAAGCCACATCCTCATGATCACTGATGCTACAGATGAGCAAGAAGTCTCAAACACCAAAGGAAAAGCTATTGGTTTATATATAGATATATATATATAGATATATACTGTGTTTACAGAGTCAACAAGTTAAATGCAATATTCATAAGAGCATTAACAATAAAAATACAATCTGTGTGTAGCCAAGTACAGACTTAAAATGGTAAAACAGGAAAAAGGATCTCACCAAAAGTACAAATATACAGTACAAATTGATTTATTTAAAACAGTTACAAAAAAAGCACAACAAAATAGAGATTATCCTTATAATTATTAATGCTTTGTTAAAGATCAGGTAGAGGAGAGGGGCAGGAGCAAGGTTGGAGTGGAGCACCTGACTAGTTCTAAGGCTTTAGATACAATGCGGTCGGTTAC